TGAGGTCATCCATTCAGAGCCCACTTCTTAAAACTCAGATCTTTAAAGGGATCCCTGAGAACAGCAACTTTGCTACTGTATTAAAAATTTTAATGTGCAAATTGTGAGTTTGTGTGTATGGATTGTGTGTATGTGTTCAGGTGCACATATGTGTTCAGGTACACATGTTCATGTATATGTTTAAGCCAGAGGAAAACCTTGGCTGTTAGGCTAGGATGTCTGGCCAGCACACCCTAGGATTCCACCCATCTCCAGCTCTTGTATGTAGATTCTTGGGAGTAACTTAGGTCCTCATACTTGAAGTGTAAGCACTTTATTGACTGAATTATCTCCCTAGCCCCTTTACACACATTTTAACTATTTTAATTGATATATAATTACATAGATTTAAGAAGCACGCTGTGACATTCCAGCTAATCTGTGCAATGTGTGATAGTAGGTCAGTGTGATTAACATATCTGTTACCTCAAACAGCCCAACACTGCCCAGTGGAGACAAACTACTAGCCACACATGCAACTCACAGCTTTCTACCACTTAGATGCAGAAAACCAAAAAAGAAACATGAGACATTAAGTAGAATAAGCTCTCTTACTTAACCAGGCATGTGAATAACATTATCACTTCAACATGGCACCCTATGAGAAAAAATCATTTGGGAGATATTTGTATTCTCGTACCAAGACTGCAAATGCAATGTGCATTTCACAACTAGGTTTAGACCAGCTGTGTGTCCCGTGCCAGGAGCTGTCAGTAGGAAGTGGTATGAACAAGGGAGGGGTGTTTTAGGGCCTTGCTGCTCAGAGTATGGGTCTTGGAGCATGAATGGTCCTCAGACTCTGTGACAGATGTAGAGTGTCAGCCCCATCTGTGAGTGCACGCAACTGTGCATGTTCATAGGATCCCAGATATGTCTGTGGCCTGGGGGTACTCCCAGCTTCAGGCTCTTGAGCCAAGTTCCTTTAGTGATAACAGTAAAATAATCTGTGTTTCAATAACAGGATAAACCCATCCCCATAACCACTGATTGACTGTGCACAGAACACATTGAAAAAAAACTATATATATTATTTCACACCCACCAATACATTGCTCAGGCTCCTGAAACTAACCATTCATGGTCCTGTAAGCAACCCTTTATAAATGCACTGAATTCCAGAAATAATAACTTAAAAGAACAAGAATGTCAGAAGGAATAGTTGAGAAGGAGAAGGGGATCGGTGAGGATGAAAAGGAGCAAAATGATGGAGATGATTATGATGGAAAAGCATTTTATACATTTATATCTGTCTAGAAAAGCTGTGTAATAGCATATACTTAGTTAACAATAAAATTACAAAAAGGCTTTTCATTAAGCTCTATAACAACACTGCTGAGGATGGTCCTTTTCCCAAGAGAGGAAAAGTGACTCCCAAGCCTTACTTTCCAGGAAAGCCTGAGGTCAGCCTCTGCCATAGCTACTAACCCTGGATTGGGGGCCTGGAGGTCCCTGACATCACCACTGCATCCTGCCCCATGCCTTTTCCTTTGGCTTTTCCTTCCTTGATGGCTGAACTCCAGAGTCTCCGGGCCTTTCCCTACATCTTCCTAATGTCAGCTTTATGCTGTACCCATCCTTGATTTAATCACCAAGACCTCTGGGCCAGTGAAAAATTTCTTGCTCAGTTACCTTGTTTTAAAATCAGAGGCACACACAGTGCGTAATGTTCCTCTTCTACAGTAGGGCAGACCTGAAGGCTCCTGAGGAGTTCACCCAGAAGGTGAAGAAGGAAGTGACCAGGAGCTTTAGCCCCTGAAAACAGCCTGGAGAGAGAAGCCTTAGAAGTCAGCAGGGAACATGCAGTTTCAGCTTCCAAAGGGCAGAACATTGTGAGCCAGTGAAGGTGGTTCTCTGCCAGTTTCCCCCTGGCACACAGTGCCTGCAGAACTAAACCCTGACCTGGACTCTGCCTTCTCAGGACTGGCACATTTGCTCCCTGGAAATCAGGTCAACAACCTAATGCTGGAATGAGAACTTTACTCTTTGTTAACAGAAAGGTCATAAAACCAGACCCTGTCCTTTCCTGGTTGGAGCCCCCTGCCTCCCCTCCAAGCATAAAGATAGACAGTGAATGGGCAGTCTTGCTAAGGATGAGAGCAGGATTCTTCAGTTAATGAAGTGGCCCTTGGATGGGGCCCAGGCAGCACAATTGCTCACATTTAATGAGAGAAAGTAGAATCTACTCTTATCTAAGAAAGCTGTTGAGATTAGATAAAAAGCCTCCTAGGGTTCTCTATTTCTGCAAGGGCAGGCCAAAGTTGTGACACCAGTGCACAGCAGCAGACTGCTTCCTTGAGAATAGCAGCAGAAACAGGGCCTTTGAGATGCAGATAGTGTAGCTGGAACCAGAACCTGACAGATAAATTTGTGTCCCCCCGCCTCCCCACCGAGATTAGTGCCAGCCTGGCACAGCTGCATGCCTGGGTCTTCCTGCCTAACTATCCCTTCTACATCGTGACTCTGAACCTTCCTAATGCTCCAACCCCGTAATACAGTTCCTCATGTTGTGCTGACCTTCCCAACCATAAAATTATTTCCTTGTTACTTCATAACTGTTAGTTTGTAATGTTACAAATCTAAATATCTGTTATGAACCCCACCCCCAAAGGAGTCATGACCCACAGATTGAGAACCATTTTTCTATATGATTTCCTACATATCTCGTCAAGGTGTTACTTGGAATGCCACAAGGCTCTCCCTCAGACTAGAACTGTCTCCGTTGGCCATCCTTCCCCACACCTCCTTTGAACACCATCCCTTGCTAGCTTTCCCTTTCTAGGACAGACCGCTTTTTTAAAAAAGTATCCTTTTTAAATAGAATTTATTTAACTTTATTGTATGTGCATTGGTGTGAAGGTGTCAGATCCCCTGGAACTGGAGTTATAGACAGTTATGAGCTGCCATGTGGGTGCTGGGAATTGAAACTGGGTCCTCTGGAAGAGCAGCCAGTGCTTTTAACCACTGAGCCATCTCTCCAGACCCATCAGACCACTTTCTAACACTGTATATTTTTAGCTAATGCACTGTGTTTATCCCCTTCACACACGCATACTAGAACATGAACCCCATGTAGATGTAGGCTTAGGATCTTCTGTTCTCCCATATCCCTGCATTCAGGCCAGGGCTGCTTTTGGGAGAGTTCATGATTATTTCCTGAGTCCACAAGTCATAAAGCAGATTCATTCAATATTTTTTTTTCACTGCCAGATACTTTGCTGGGGCTTTCCATGAATAGTAGGTATAAATGGAGGTTTCTCTGTCCTTCCCTGTCCTGCAGCTGCTTCTAAATAATCATTCGAAGGCTTAATATTAACTACAAACTGCTTGGCCTATAGTGCAGGCTTCTTACTAATTAGCTCTTACATTTACAATTAACTCATTTCTATTAATCTATGTATTGCTACATGGCCATGGTTTTTACTGGTCTTCCATATCTTGTTTCTCGGTCAGCTGGCTTGCATATCCCTTGGCTCCACTTTGTTTTTGTTTTCCTTCCTATATTCAGTTTGACTTTCCCCCAGCTATATTCTGCCTTGCTATAGGCTAAAGCAGCTTTTATTATCAGCCAATGAGAGCATCATGTATTCACAGCATATAGGAGGGTTATGCCATAGCAAACAGGTACAAATTGATTTCTGATATTGTAGGTATGAAAGGGTGTGTTCTATTTTTGTTTATAGAATAACTAGGTGAAGTCCCCAAACCCCAGCACAGGGGAACATCAGAGCATCTTCCTTAATGCTAGAAGTGGATGGGGGAGGTTCTCATAGAGAAAATATTCACCCTCACACAGGGTTGTAATATTCATGGTGTCATGCTCCCTGTCTCTTTTGTTGGTCAGGTCAACCTGGCCCACTTTCACAAGGGTGGCTTCTCTTTCTCCCTAAATACCTTGGCCACAGAATCTTTACTGGGCCCTAGACAATAAACTCATGCCTGAATTTGCAGCAATTTCTAGAGATAGGATCTTCATGCTCAGTTAAATGACAAGTGAGCTAGCTATCTTTAGGTAATATAATCTCAATATCTCTATTTCTGTCAGTATTTAATAAGAGCTAGGGTATCAATGAGCCCAAGGCTGTAAACTCTGGCTATAACAACAACATACTAATAATACAAGCAGCTTTTATTTAACACCTATTTATTTAACAAATATTTGCTGGGTGCCTAGGATATGCTAGGTAAAGGAAATGGCATGCAATTTAGGAGGTGATTAATGTCTAAGATGGGGGTGAGGCTGTTGACATTTTATACAGAGTGGGTGGGAAAGGGCTAACTGGGAAAGTGACACTTGACTTGAGTACTCCTGGGAAAGAGCTTCCTGACTGAGGAGAATGCGAGTGCAAAGGCTCTGAGGTAGAAACAGGGGCATCGTATTTGAGGAAGAAGAAAGAGGTTGATGTGGCTGGAGGACAGTCAGGGAAAGGCAGTAAGAGAGCCCAGGGTATGGCTCAGTGGAGTAAGAGGTATAGTACTTGCTAAGTATGCACAAAGCCCTGGCTTTGAAAACCCAGCGCTTCGGAAGGGGAGGGAAAAGGAGAGGAAGGAAGTAGAGGGGAGGGGAGGACTAAGAGATGGGTAGTGGTGGAGATGGAAGAGGGTGCTTACTGCCTTCAATACACTCAGCTGGTCATTTTGCACCTATCAGTTTGTTTAACCCTTTCCACACCCAGTGAATTCCACATCATTGGACAGTAGAAGAAAACAAGCCTCAGAAAGAGGCGTTTAAGGTCACACTGGTTAGGACAGTGCTGGGACTCAAACTCCAATCCATAGACACCCAAGTCCCTACAGTTAGTTTGGCTTTTGGCCCCATGGAAACTCTGGTTGCTGGTGTCCATGGGCACATTTTTTTCAGCAGGGCTGCTATGCCAGGCCACTCTTACTCAACAATGGCCCATTCTTCTCCAGACCCCCAGCCTGGCCCTCTAGAACCCCAGAACTCAGAACATTGTTTCAGAGGCAGCTCTGGCTTCCATGTGCTCAGGGAAGAACTTCATTTCTGCCCCTCAATTTCTCAGGAACACCTATTAGCAGACAGGTCCTACTTTCGTCACAAGGGGAAACTTAAGGCCTGCTCTTCAGACTCCCACTTTCTCTCTGAAGTGCCACAGAGATAACTGCCCCAGCTCAAAGTAGCCCAACAGCTGGAAAGCCTGAGACGAATCCAGCTCCTTGCAGGTAAGACCTTGCTGAATAAGACCACTCTGATTAGCAGGTGGCCTTCCTTCCATTGAGGGCATCTTACATTTAAGATGGTTACACATTAGGGTTAGTGCAATGGCTTTATAGGCTAAATATAACCCTACCCCAGACCTATGAGATCAAAACCTGCTAGGTTTAGACTCAAGCATTAGTATTTGTGAAAAACTCCTCCAGGAAACTTTACTGTCGAAAACCCATTCAAATGGGTCTTGGGCTTTGTTGTGGGAATCAAATGAGGCCATCCATTCACTCACTAGTTACTGAGCATCAAAGCAGGACCAGACATGATTCTAGGGGGTAGAGAAATAGCTACAGACAATTCTATTTATTTATATTTAACAGCTTTGAAGATTCAGATGCAGTGGTGCATTATCTGAAATCTCAGCTTTTGGGAGGTTGAGAAGGTGGGAAAACACAAATATCTAATCAGCCAGGGGTTTCCAGGCTAGCCTTGGTTACTTAATGTGACTATATCTTTAAAAAGAAAGTTCAAAAATGAATCATAAAGTAACCAAACAAACAAATATGAAATAAGCATTGGTGACTGGGAAGGCAGAGTGTTTCAGGTGGAGATGAATGAGGTCAAGTGGTATTGGAAGCCTCCCCACTGATAGCTGGTATCAGCTGGGGTGACTCCTGATATCTATGGGTGAGTACTCTCAGCAGGGGCTTCTCTGTCAGGACCTGAACCATCATTAAGAGTCCCAAGAGGTGAGATAAATAAGTCTTTGCAGAGGCAAAGTCCTAGAGTAAAGTGCAGGCCAGACCAAGGTCACAGAGCATTAAGGACAAGGTCTAGAGGCATTGGACCTGACAGAATAACACAAGTTTTGGATGGTTCATGCTGGTAGAACACAAAAACCTTCCCAGACAGAAGCAATGTTGTCTAGCCCATATTAAAAATGGAAATTGCTGACTGTTGCATGTGTGCCAAGGATTAAGGACTGCAAAGGTCAAGCATCACATGGTGTGGATAAGAGCCAGTGGTGGTTGGGATATAGTGGTCTTAGCAGAATCCTGGTGGGCAAAATCCCACAAAAAAGCTGCTTAGGAACACCCCTTTAGTGTCAGATATTCTTACGAAGGACTGTTACCACTCCAGTCACTTTCCCCTGAATTGGGAACTGACATTGAATCTGAGTTTGGAATTTTTAGGACTGAGTTGGTGAGAGGTATTCAGGGGAGAGGTTTCCAGAAGGGTCCACAAAGAATGCTGGCCACAGAAAGAGGCAGATATAGAGTAAGGTCCACACCCAGGTAACAAATGGGTAAGGCACAGGCAGAGCATGGCTGAGGGCACACCTGAGAGTACAGGTTGTAGAGTTGGAGGTCTCTCCAAGATCATGTAGAGGCAAAAGTGGGCTTTAGGGGACTCTCGATAGAAAGAGCAAAATGGACAGGAAATGACTGCTTGGAAGAGGAATTACTTCCTCTCCACTCCTAGAGAGTGTAAATGGTTCACTTGTTTGCTTGCTTTAGTCACATACATGTTTCCTGAACAAACCTTCCTACCATCACCCTACTTTAAATGCTCAACTGTCCTCTCCTTCCATCAGTGTTCAATCTTTCCTACCTGCTCTTGTCCCTCAGACTTTATTGACATATTCCTCTTTGTCTTGTCTGCTTGTTTAGTTCACTTCTGTGTCTTCTCTGCTTAGAAGGGAAAGCAGCATATGTCATGATCTCAAAGACACTTAGAGAGTGAAAAATGAATGAGTAAATGTGATTGTCTAAATAAAAAATGGTCCTCATAGGTTCATAGGGAGTAGCACTAACAGAAGGTGTGGCCTTGCTGGAGGAAGTGTGTCACTGTGGGTGGATTTTGGGATTTCAGATGCTCAAACTAGGTCCAGTGTCACTGTCTCTTCCTACTGTTTGTAGATCCGGAAGTAGAGCTCTCAGCTACCTCTCTAGCACCATGTCTGCCTCTGTGACACTACACCTCACACCATGATGACAATGAACTAAATTTCTGAACTGTAAATAAACCCCAATTAAATGCTTTTCTTTATAAGAGTTGGTGTGGTCATGGTGTTCCTTAACAGCTATAGAAGTTCTGTGTAAGACAGTGAATGAATGAATGAAACAGCAAGGTTGACATGGTAAAGACTAATGATGGTTAGTGTGGTGTTTTGAATAAGAATGACCCAGATAGGCTCATATATTTAAATGCTTGGTCACCAGGGAATGACACTATTTGAAAGGATTAGGAGGTGTGGCCTTGAAGACATGTATCACTGGGGGTGGGCTTTGGGATTTCAAAGGAATTAAAGAAAAGCATAAGCAGTGAAGAAAACCATAGAAAACAGAAAGCTGATTAAAATGTTTGAATGAGGGGGCTAAGTAGCAGCCCCATCAAGTAGCAGATCTTGACAACTTTGGCCATTGGTTGGTTCTGGCTTTACCATCAAGAATAGAAGAAAGGCATTATATAGCCTTCCATGGAGACTAAGCCAGGAATGTGTCAGAGGGGACCCTGCACGGAGGCTCAGATAGGCTATTGTGTAAAACCATAGAGGTGAAACCTGTATTGTGTTGGAGGACCCAAGATGTTGGAGACACCAGAGTTGTTCAACACATTCAGTGAAGAGGTGCTAACAGGGAGTGGGACTGCCCCAAGAAAGAGAAGTGTGTTGCAGTCAATAAGGCTGAATGGAGTTGGAAATCTGAAGAGCTCTTTGACATCAGATAAGGAGATGCAGAGTTGAGAATTTGCTCAGCTGGTCTTTGGTTTTATTTTGGTTCAGTATTTACTCACTATATTCCTTTTTCACCCTTTTGGAATGGTATTGTATACTTTGTGCCATTTTGTGTTGTAAGTATATGATCTCCTTTTTTTTTTTATTTTTATTTTATAGGAGGTTACAATTAAGAGATTGCCATGAGTCTCAAAAGACACTTTGGACTTTTAAACAGTGTTGAGACTATTATCAACCATGGAGACTTTTGAAGTTGGACTGAATATATTATTGCATTATGATATAGTTACAAACCTATGGGGAACAGGAAGTGGGATGTGATTGATGATAAGAATAGATTCCATAGACTCATATATTTGAATGCTTAGTCATCAAGAATTGCAACTGTTTGAAAGGATTAGGAAGTGTGGCCTTGTTGGGGAAAGTGTGTTACTGGGGGAGGGGTGGGATTTCAGATCTCAGAAGCCCAAGCCAGGCCTAGGGGCTCTCTTCCTGCTGCCTGGGAATTAAGATGTAGAACTCTCAGTTACTTCTCCAACACCATGTTTGCCTATATGCCACCAAGCTCCATGACATGATGATAATGAACTATTTAAACCTCTGATTCTGTAAACCTGCCTAAATTAAATGCTTTCTTTTATAAGCATTGCTATAGTCACGTTGTCTCCTCACAGCAATGGGACACTGACTAAGATAGTGAGCTTGTCTTACCAGCTCGGAGGGTCTGTTCTCCATGATGTAGACATGGGGCTCTGGAAGCAGACACTTAGAGTAAGTGAGGAATGACAACTGAAGTTGTCTCTCTGACCTTCACAAATGGTAGCTTGTACACATTCACAAGAATATGTACACATACTATATACACTGACAATACACATACAATCAAATAAATCACTGCCTAGATAGTTGATGATACAAAGATGTTATTATTTTGTTAAATATGATAATGGTATTTTAAAAATTCCTTATCACCTAGAAATTCACATTGAAATATTTATAGTGACATGTAGAATGCCTGGGAAATGAGCTTCATAATAGCTCAGCAGAGAGTTTCTGGGACTATAACTGGGATAATTTGTGGTGCTATGAACCTTAGAAATGAGTGTCTTGGGACACATAGTGTCATTTTCCCTAGGTTGTATGTGTTCAAAATTTCCCAAGTAAAGAGTTAAAACAACAAGTGAAGGACCATCTGGGAACCTTTGAAGTACATAAATATTTGGGTCCTGGGATGGCTATTTTTATGCCAACTTGAAATAAGCTAGAATCACTGAAGAGAAGTGAGTCTTAATTGAGAAAAAAAACCTCAGAAAGATTGGGCTATAGTTAGGCCTGTAGGGCGTTTTCTTAATTAGTGATTGATAGACGGTACCCCAGCATGTTGTTGTTGTTGGGGTCACAGCTGGGCTGGTAGTACTGGATTCTATAAGGCTGAGCAAGCCATGGAGAGCAAACCAGTAAGCAGCACCCCTTCATGGCCTCTGTATCAGTTCCTGCCTCCAGGTTCATGCCTGTTTTAGTTCTTGTCCTGACTTCTTTGGATGATGAACAGTGACATGGAAGTGCAAATCAAATAAACTCTTCCCTCCCCAGCTTGTTTTGGTCATGATGTTTCTTCATAGCAATAATTGCTGTAACTAAGACAAGTCTCATACTAAATAATTCTAAATTAATCTGAGTTTGGCTGAGGTAGGGTGCCAGTTATGTCCTTTAAATTCTATAGAGAATCCAGGGTTAAGAAAAGAATATTGACATGGACCAATAGGATTAACATAGTAAAAACAGAAAATGTTAGCAAAAGCAATTTAGAGATTCAATGCAATCACCATAAAAATTCCAAAACAATTCTTCACAGACCTAGAAAGAACAATATTCAACTTATTATGGAAAAACAAAACATCCAAGATAACTAAAACAACCCTGTATAATAAGGACCTTCTGGAGGTTTCACCCTCACTGACTTCAATCTCTACTATAGAGCTATAAGTAATTAAAACAGCCTGGTATTGACATAAAAACAGACAGGTGGACCAATAGAATTGAACCAAAGACCCTGATATTAATTCACACACCTATGAACATATGATTTTTGACAAAGAAGCTAAAAACATAAAGTAGAGAAAAGAAAGCATCTTCAGCAAATGGTTCTGGCATAACTGGATGTCAGTATGTAGAAGACTGCAAATAGATTCATATCTATCAATCTGCACAAAACTCAAGTTCAAGTTGATCAAAGGCCTCAACATAAATGTAGTTATCCTGAACCTGAGAAAGTGGGAAGTAGTCTTGAATGCATTAGCACAGGAGACAAATTCCTGAATATAACACCAATAGCACAGACACAGAGATCATAATTAATAAATGGATCCTCTTGAAACTGAGAAGCTTCTGCAAGGCAAAGAACAAGGTAAATAAGATAAAATGGCAGCCTACAGAATGAGAAAAGATCTTTACCAACCCCTACATCTGACAGAAGGCTGCTCTCCAAAATATATAAAGAACTCAAGAAGCTAGACATCAAAATACCAATAATCCAATTAAAATTGGGATACAGATTTAAACAGAATTCTCAACAGAAGAATCTCAAATGACAAAGATACACTTAAAGAATTGTTCAACATTCCTAGTTATCAGAGAAGTGCAAATCCAAATTGAAAATACTGAGACTAGCTTATGTTGGAGAAGATGTAGAGTAAGGGGAACTCTCCTCTACTGCTGGTAGGAGTGCAAACTTGTACAGCCACTTTGAAAATTGATAAGAGGGTTTCTCAGAAAATTGGAAAGCAAGCTACCTAAATATCCAGAAATCTCATTCTTGGGCATATTCCTAAAGGATACTCAGTTATACCACAAGATTGCTTGGCTGTGTTCATGGCAGTGTTAGTTATTCATAATAGCTAGAACCTGGAAACAACCTGAAATGAAGAATGGGTAAAGAAAATGTGGTCAGTAGAAAAACAAACAAACAAACAAAAAACCCCAAACAAGCAAAAATAAATAAATAAATAATGGCACTATGAAATTTGCAGGCAAATGGACGGAACTAGAAAAAAAAATCATCCTGAATGAGATAACTCAGACCCAGAAAGGTAAACATGGTATGTACTCACTCATAAGTGGATATTAGCTGTAAAGTAAAGGACAACCAGGCTACAAACCATAGCCTAGAGAGGTTAGATAACAAGAAGGGTCCAAAGAGGGACATATGGATTTCCCTGGGAAGGGGAAAAAAGAGATCTCCTGTGTAAACTGGGGTTGACAGATGGGGATAAGAACACGAAGGATCTGGTTAGGTGGGTTGGGGGTAAAATGGAGGGGGAGAGTAATGAAAGAGATATCTTGATGGGGGAGCATTTAGCTGATTAGGAAGAAACCTGGTGCCAGGGAAACTCCCAGGAATCCACAGGGATGACCCTAGCTAAGACAACTAGCAACAATGGAGAGGATGCCTGAACTGGCCTTCTGTGTAATGAGATTGGTGACTACCCTAGTTGTCATCAGAGAGCCTTCATCCAGTAACTGATGGAAGCAGATACAGAGATCCACAGCCAAACCCTTAGCTGAGCTCCTGGAGTCCTATTGAAGGGAGGGGAGGGATTATATGAGCAAGGGGGAGGGTCAAGATCACAACAGGAGAGCTCATGGGAGCTCCAAAACTTTGGAGAAACAGCTAGGAAGCCTGCATGGGACTCACCTGGGTCCTTTGCATGTGTGTGGCAGTAGTGTAACTTGGTCTGTTTGTGGGGCTCCTAGCAGTGGTAACAGGACCTGTCCTTGGTGCTTGAGAAGGCTTTTGGGAACCTGTTTCCCATCCTGGGTTGCCTGGCCCTGCCTTGATGCAGTGGGAGGAACTTGGTCCTGCTTCAACTTGATGTGCTGTGCTTTGTTGACTCTCATGGGAGGCCTGCCTCTTTCTGAACAAAGAGGAGGAGTGAATAGAATGGGGTAGATGGGAAGTGGGTGGAGGAAAGAGCAAAAGAGAAGTGAGGGGAAATTGTAGTCATATACAAAATAAATGAAAAATAATAATAAAAGATAAGAAAAGAGCATTGAGCACTCAACATATGTATAATGTATAATATGAGTTTGTTTGAAATATGCATATGGCTATTTTCAACATTAGTGGGGATTCATTACCAGTGAGCAACTTTCTCCACAGAGGGATCTTGGGATCTTTTTTTACTTGACAATTTGTGTTGTTGTTGCTGTTTGCTTATTTGAGACAGTATTGCACCATGTAGCTCAGGCTGGCCTGGTACTCATATGTAGCCCAGTCTGTAGTCTTGAGAACATTTCAAAGACAAGGCAGTGGGCTGGGCAGAGTTGGAGGAGTGGGAAGCAGCACCAGTATTAGTCAAGGGGAGTGTGGGAGGGGTCCACTCGGAGGCCCACTTTGGGATTCTGAAGTGGGACTCGTCTCTGTGAAATTCTCACCAAGTGGCTGGGAAAACAGTGGGCTCCAATGGCCCGTTTGATTCCAGGTCTTGATGAATGGGAGCTGCTCTTGCTTCCCTTCTGCAGTCAGTGCCCAGGGGTTGAAGTTGCCCAGGCAACCTTGTTTTTTGCTGTAGGGTTGCTGCCAAGCTGTGAGCTTTGCAGAGTGTTGTGAGCCCTGCTTCTTCCACATTCCCCTGCAGGCATAAGGAAAGGATGTCTGTTCAGAAGGTCAGAGAAGAGCTCTGTTTTCTTCGCTTCCCCCTGCAGGCCAGCCATGGAACTGCTCTGGACGCCACTGCTGCTGGTAGCTGCTTGCCTCTCTGAGGTCCTTGGCTCACCGGGAATAGACACAGGCCTCAACATTTCCAGGCCTGTGCACATCCTGGAGGATCATAATTTGATGGTGCTGACTCCTGCAGGCCTAACACAGACAGTGCAGGAGACCCGCTTCCTAATGGTGATTTTCCGTGAGTATTTTCAGTTCTGAGAATAAAGGGTCATGGATTTGGGGGACCACAGGAGTTCTATATACTGTCAAATGCATAGAAAAATATGAAAGTGCTGTAGGCACTCACAGCTGGGGAAAGGCTTGTCCCCAGGAGAATTCAAACTTGGCTCACCCAGCAGTTGTTATTACAGTGGAAGACCAAGTTCATCCCCCCCCCCCCTCTCTCCTCTTCTTTCCTCTCCTTTTTAACCCTCCACCACTGGGTTACACCCTTAGCTCTTGCTTTTACATCTTTTAATTCCTCTGATAAGAATATGAACAATTCAAAGTATTTGAATGCTTCCCTTCACACCTGCAGAGATTTTTGTCATCTAAGAGACATTAAATTAAACTCATTATGTTCTTATTATTGATTCTGCCAATATAAAATTGAATTCAAAATGAGTCTGAAATCTGGTAGGCCTTCTAAGGTGATCTTTGGGAGAATCATTTTGGGGGAGGATTATAAATGTTTCCCTCAACCGTAAATGGACTCTTTATACAAGAGAGTTTTTAGGGACATCTCAGTGACTCTCAAACCCTTGGCCAGTCTCTCGTCACCCTTCTGAGGACTCAAGAACACTCAAGGTTGATTCTCAGTGGGACCTCTCTTTCTCAGGTCTCAAGTGCTGCCTGTGTCTAAAACAAATTTCAGTGTTTGGGGTTTGGTTCTGACCATCAAGCTCTTCTTGCCAAAGTCAGAAACCTCAAGGTCATCCTGAGTCTATATGTAGCCTCATAGAAGGTATCTCCACATCCTATGGTTCCGTATTTCAAACTGTGTGTTTCCCACTCTTTCCGCACCTTCCATCATGGCCTCTGTTTCATTCTCACCATTCTCCGCCTGAAACCTGAGCTAGGCTCCTCCATGAATTCCATTCTCCTTCCAGTGTGTTCTCTGTAAAAAACACAGAGGGACTGGTTTCAGTACTGCAGCTCTACTTGTCAAAATGGAATATTCTGGCTTTCTGTAGGCCTTTCATCACACAGTTTGCTTGGTAGCATCTATCCTTCACTTCTGCACTGGGACTGTGAGTTTGTTTCTTGTGAGGAAGGTTTACCCACTCCCATTTAGACTGGGTAGGACTCTTTCCCAGTCTGCTTCACCTTCCTTTTAGGAGCATTTGTCACTTCCTATTAAAAGCACTTCTAGACTTGCATGCTCCATGGAGTTATGGCACAAACCTATCCCAAGTCTTGATCCCTGGAATTGACACTATTGGAACATAGTAGGTCTCCACACATGTCAAGTGAATGAATGAATGAACTAATGATATTTTCTTTGGGTCCCCATTTTCTCTGTGACAATTAACTTGGATGAGTTAAAGAAAAGGAAAGACTACTTTTGGTGGAAAATGACCAAGAAAAGATTAATAGTTGTCATTAGGGCCATTTTTGCCACTTTTCCCTAAAGCAAATGTGGCAAGACTCTGTCTTGAAGTTACAATAGATGTTGATGGTGATCATGATGAAGCTGGCCATTAGGATTGGGATAATTGTGATACTTGGTGATGGTGGAGGTAACAACAGAGATGGTGATGATTATAGACACAATAATGGCAATGATGATAATTGTCCAAGTTAACAATTGCCAACTTGACTTAGCCTAGGAGAAACCTCAGTTGAGAAATTGGTTAGGTCATGTCAGTCTGTGGGCATGTATGTGAGATATTGTATTAACTGTGTATTGCTAACAGAGGGCTTAAACTACTATGGAATGTATCATCATTCCTTGGGCAGGTGGTCCCTGACAAAATTGTATGCAGCATTTCTCCATGGTTTATGATTTAGTTCCTTTATGATTTGAGTTCCTGCTCTGACTTTCCTCAATGATGAATTATGACACAGAAGTGTAAGGCAAACAATTGTTTTTCTCATGAGATGCTTTGGTATAGCAGAAAAGGAGTAATTAATACAGAATAGAGATAATTATAGAGATGGTGATGTCAATGATGATGATGATGATGACAATGAGTATGGAGATGATGGTAAAGATGATGATAGAGATTATGATGGTGATGATGGTGGTGGTTGTGATGGAGATGCTGAGGGGAATGATGACTATGGTGACGAGGTGTTGATGATGACAACTGTCATGGTTTTAACTATGGCAGTGATGATTGTAATGTACATTTATCAAACATCTGCATTGCATATATTGTTCCCATGGTTCCCAACTTACTCATGAAACAAATTTCAATATATTGTACTCAGTACTATGGTTCCCAACTTACTCATGAAACAAATTTCAGAAAGGTTATGTATGAATTTAAAACACAGTCTTGCATCCAAATCGCTGCTCAGCCCGTCCTGTTCTACCACATTGACCTCCAGAAGATGTACTTATTTACTCATAAGTATTTACTGAGTGATCAGTATGCCCCAGATGCAATATCAGCACTGAGAAGGTAAACTGCACTGCCTTCCAGGAACTCACAGGCAGGAGAGGAGACAAATGCTAGATCCAGGAGAGAAGTATGAGGCGTGTCCTGTGACTAAAAGTGCTATGGGGAGACGTGGGGATGGGATGTGATAGAAGTGTGTGAGGTCTATGGCTGCAGCAACAGTCTCCCTTACCTCCGTTTCAGACACTCCAGGGCTCTGGGATATGTGTGGAAGCATCTATTCCAGTGCTTCTCTTGTCTGAGCATATGCATTCATAAACTCAGCCGCCATGAGCCCAGCATGGCCTGGTCCACGGGAAAGCTGGGAGAAGCCACAGAGCAGAGTAGGCCAGCAAAGAGACCAGAGCTTGCTGCTGGTGATGGAGTGGTATGTCAAAGGAGGAGACGGGAGACACATCAATCTGTGAGAGAGGCATAAAGTCTTTGCTTCCCATCCACATGTGGGGGCTTTAATGAGAATGATCTCTCACACTCAGGTTCCATTGCTGAGCCAATGACTAGCGACTGAGCCTGTGCCAGCTGTCCTGGGACTCAGCTTCCCCAGCTGTGCTTTATAAAACATGTATCTGTCAGATGTGGCCATGCCCACAGCTGGGAGGTGACCTGCACTCTCTCCAGGTGTTCCAGGTGGACAAGAGGTTTGGAAAGGATAGAATGTTCTGGCTTGAAAGGGATTTTCCCCCAGGCCTGACAGCCTACCAGTCTCAGATATGTGGTGGTAAGGACCTGCAGTTTGGTAATGTCATCAGGTTTGCCATTCGGTCTCCTCCCTCCCACTCCAGTTAGGACAGCCCATGCCCTGGTCAAGGTCAGTTCTCTGGGGCTGTTTTCAGGAATGAGCCTTCACCTCACTGGAACCACCAAGAATTCCAGAGTACCAGACAATGTAACAGAGTACTGGGGTCACTTTAGCTACCCCTTCCCAAGGTGGTGGGGTCAGAGAGGGGAGTGAGCATCTATCCAGTGTACCCTATCTACCTGCACCTCATACCTCACCTACCTGTGCCTGAAGAGTTCCCAGCCCAGCCATGGCAGGAGGAGTTTATCACGGTTTAATAAGGATCAGGAAAAACAGATAGGCTGAATAGATGTTTATTCAGAGAGAAATAACTTACAACTTACAACAGAGACAGATGAACACCAGCAGGTTCCTGGTCCCAAGGATGCCTCCAGATGCTCCTCTGTTTCCATGCTGCAAGCAAGAGAGAGCTGGTGTGTGTGTGTGTGGGGGGGGCTTCCCCAGACCTAGTTCCCCCAGGTCATGTCCACCCCTGTCCCCACCCCTTAATGGGCGTGGTCAGTCCACAGGTGCAACAAAGTATCTCTACAGGAGCTCAATGACTGTTCAGTTCCAAAGCCTTCCACCAGGGGGTGCAAATGATGTACATCACTAGCCCTTACTTTCCAACCAAAGAAAAACTTTCAGCATTAATATCATTAGCAATTAAAATGTATTATGTCTTTATTATGTGTCAGGCATTAATCTAAGTTTTTACATGCCTAGTAAAAGTTAAAAAACAAACAAACCAGGAGTTCTTTAGCCAGCTTGAGTATATCCTTTTATCAGGGCCTTCGCCAGTGTGTGGTTTTGTTATACTTCGGTTTCCTCATCTATAAAACTGGGATAATAACAACATCTACCTCATAAGATTATTGAGAGGGACAATAGATTTAGTACCTGCAAAATCCACAGAAAACACTAAGCACCATGTAACTGACTGCTAAATTAATTTCATTTGATTCTGACAATCTCCCAATTCGTTCCATTTTATGATCCATATGTCTCATCTCCTACCACATTTCTGAAACCCACTCCTAAGCTGTGAACACAGGAAAAGCCAGGCTCTCCCAGGACAAACAAAGACCAGAACAGTGTGAGGGAGAGGGACTCTGTAGTCTATCTCCATACTCGTTCTTTCAGACAATCCATCCTCGAAGCAGTCCCAGAAGCTGGCTGAAGAGCTGGGCAGAGCCTCGGAGATCATCGGCAAGGGCAAGAATGGCTTGGGCTTTGGCAAAGTGGACATCACTGTGCAGACCGAGCTTAAGCAGGAGTTTGGCATCAAGCAGGCCCCAGAGTTGAAGCTGTTTTTCGAGGGCAACAGGTCTGATCCCATCAGTTGCAAAGGTAATAGTGATTGGGGTTTCAATTGATTTCATGCTCTGGGGAAGCCTGTATGGCAGCTCAAGGTGGGATGTGGGAGGCTCCCATCCACATGGCCTCTTGGTGATCCAGGTTCTTTTCTATTGTGGCTCTAACTTGCTTAGAGCCCTGGAGCCACCTGCTCTTTTCTCAGCCCCCAGATGCAGGAGCTCACAATGCAAGAGGGCTGAGAAATACAGCTCAGCTCTGTGTCTAAATGAAAAATGGGACTTGGCAAACACTGGCCTGCTTTTCTCACAATTCTCAGCGAAGAAGGGACATGACTACCTACCAGAGGATCTTTCTAACTCCACTCTTTTACTATGGAAGATATTGCCATGGAAGTACTGCTGGGCCAAAGAGGAGGGTGCAAGAGGCTGGGTGTGAGAGAACTCCTGTGAAAAAATGATAGGCTTGGTGGTGCCCTCTTGCAGCCCCAGAGCTGAGAAAGTAGGAATGGGTAGCCAGCCACATTAACATATTTGATAAGTTCTAGGCCAGTGAGAGTCCACATTAGAAAAAAATAGATGGTGCCTACAGAGCACCCTGTGGTTGATCTCCAGGGCTCTACATGCACACACATACACAAGCATGCACACACATACACAGAAATAAGCAAGAGGGGGGTGATAGAACAAAAGACTGAGGTAGGGTGTCTATCCAGTACTTTCACTCACACCATCATTCACTGATTCATTTGCAGACACGTCTATTCACACGCCCACTTGCTGGCAGCTTACCATGATATTGAAGCTGTCTGGAGAATCACATACCTTAGTGTCTGACATGGCTGATCCTAATTTTAAAATGTAGACAGGTATGGAACAGATGGATGTGGACTGACAGGTGAATGGGTGAACTCACTGCTGGGTGTTACAAAACGGGTGATGCCCAAAGAAACTCAGCAGGGGGTTACTGAGATGGCTCGGTGGGTGAGGGCATTTGCTGCCAAGACTGTACCTGACTTTAACCCCTATGACACACACGGTGGAAGGGCACAACCTATGCCTGAGATTGTTCTCTGGCCTCCACAGGCATGCTATAGCATACACCCTTGGTAGTTAATTCATAAGTAAATGTGACAAGAGAAACTAGCCCATCCTCTACCATGCCAATAGAATGGTGCCATAATATATGTGTTAAATAGCACAACCAGAAAATGGCACTGCCTTTTATAGGCTGTGGCATTTCTGAAGCATTCTTTTAAGCAGTGAGCACAAGACAAGTTCAGGAGCCAAACAAAGGATCCAATCCACCCCAGGAGAAGGAGTTTCAGCTTCGAAAGAACCTGATGGAATATTGATTGCTATATTGATTGCTGCAGGAGCCAAAGGATTAGAAAGAGACTCCATGAGCAAGAAATGAAAGTACATTGCAGTTAACAGGATGCTCACTAGAGGGCGTCAGAGAAACACTGAGCAGGCTGGCTGGGGAAGAGCTTCAGAGCAGGCAAGCACTTCAATGTCCAACAGATCAAATGGAGGGTAGTGTGTGCAAGCCAGTGGGACGTGGCCAGAAAGAGATGGGGCTCTGATTGCTAGGAAATCTGAGGAATAATCTTCAACTGTAAGGACCCATCTAACCCAAGCAAGGGACCCTTGGCAACGTGTTGGCTTCAGGAAGGACTGTGAAGAAGCAGGCCCGGGTTACTTTGTGAAAGCTCACATCTGCTTATGGCATGGCTCAGGCGCTGGCTTGTCCTTCCCTGTTGAAGGACAACTGAGATCTGGTACTATCAAGAGATGACAAGACAATTGTGTGGCAGCTTTTGCACCGTCAGAGAAGATGCGCAAGGATTTCTGAGTCTTGGTGGTGGAAACGAGTGGCTGGGACCTCCTCTGCCATGCAGGAGACTTCTCATCTCTTCTTCCAGGGCTTCTGCTCTGCTTGCTTAGGGCACCATGTAGCCTGCTCCTCAGCCGTGTTCCCATGGCAATTTTGCATCACGACCAAGACATTGCCTCACAGAACACTATCTGCTAGTTATTGTCTTCTAAGAGCACCACAAGGGCAGAGGTTGGTCTAACCTCCATCTGGTCTAATCTCTACCCTTGGAATTCCAGTCTCTGCATCCAAATCCTCCCCTCCTGCCTCAGGAGTAGTCAATCCCTCTTGTACCAACTCTGTTTCCTCATCTGAAAATGAGTAATGTGGAAATTCTACTGCTTTGGCTGCTGAGAAAATACAGCAGTGTTTGCAAGGCACGGGGCCTGACAGATCCCTGCAGCCAGCACTGGCTTCCAAGTGTTTCACAACAGCCCAGCACGGCTGTTACTTTCCCAGATGGAGCACAGGAAAGAGGAACAACTTCTACACAGCACCCTGTGGGCTGGGGCTGGCAAAATGGCTCAGCAGGTAAAGGTACTTGTTGCCAAGCCTAGTAACCTGAGTTTTATCCCTGGAATGCACACGCTGGACTCTAACAAGCTGTCCTCTGACCTTCAGATATGCTCCATAAATAAAAAAAAGTTGAAACAGTGAACATTTTAAAAGCAAAGACAATATTCCAGCTAGAAAGTAGTAAAGTCAGGGAAGATTTTTTTCTGGAAAGGGCTGTGCAATAGGAATTTTAGCCTTATGAGGTAGAAAACCTGTCACGCCTACCATCTCTACTATGCACTATGGGAAAAGACATGGCTGTATTTATTTATAAAATCAAACAGTGGGCCAGATTTGGTCTATGGGCTATAGTTTGTGCTGCACAAACTACACTGTGCTGCATATTAAATAAATAGAAGTGCTTATTATTAACTATTAATTGCTTAAGCCTAGTCTAGTGCTTGGAACAATTAGGTTCTTAGTGGTTGTTAAGTTTGAACAAGATGCAATTACAAGAGCCCACTGCAAGAAGGCACACACAAGAAGACAACACATACTTCTGAGCTAACTAGTCTCCCTCTTCTTTAATGTTACTTCCCAAGCACAGAAAGAGGAACTGTGATTCCAGGATGCAGTGTGGGACTGAGATCTCCGGAATTAGGTAGCACTCTGTCTCTGAGTACTTGAGCAAAGCTGTAGACCTCAGCCTACATTTACTTACTGTAGACAGAATGAATTAAGGCCTGCTTGACAGGGCACTTTGGAGTTCCCAGAGGACACACTGCTCTTCATGCCACCTGCAATGTGACTATTATGAAGCCCAACTCAGGACACAGGTGGGGCTTAGTCCTTGCTGGGTCATAGCCCAGTTCTGTCCTCTAATATCCACAGACTGATGGTGGGAGATTTGACCCTGTCTACCTCCTTGGAGGAAGGAGACTCAAATGGCCTCTGGGGCCTCTATTAGTGATGCATTCACAGCTTGTGTTTGGAAATATGCAGCCAAGCTCAGGCCCAGTCAATCATTGACACAGCATTCACACCTGAGTTGTCACTGTGTCCTCTGGCACAGAGTCAAAAGCCAGGGGAGGCACCATACTTGGCAAAGGCAGTGCCCAAGCCATAGACACTTGGGAATAAGATGTCAGTCAAGCTCAGAACTACATGTGCTCCACTGGGTCCAGAGGGGCAAGCAGAGGTAGTATACCCCAGAAGAGGAGGCCTGGGAACTACTTCTCTCAAGCTGGCTTTCCTGATGGTCCATCGTTAATTCCCTCAACCTAAAGTGATTTCTTGAGCACCGAGTATGTATGTGCCTGGCAGCTCACAATGAACAAGTTTACTCCAAATCATGTAACAGCAGTTTCAGAAAATGATAGACTGATGGAAGAAAACAGAAGACATAATGACGGAGGAGGAGGAGAAGGGATGCCTGGGGGCAGGGAGGAGATGGAAAGGGAGTGACTGGCACAGGGGGCAATTGAGGCTGTAGCCATGGGTCTGATGACCTGAAGGTTTAAGTCCATTTAAAGGCTTTCTTGACTATTTCTTTCTTTTTTTTCTCCTTCTCCTTTTTTTTTTTTTTTCCTTGCCTTGTTTGGGGTGAGGTCACTGTGTTGTCCAGGTTGGCCTGGGACTCAGGCTCTTTCTGCTCCAGTCCCAAGAGTTGAGTATATAGGCATACAGTATTACCCCTTTCCTCAATCATAATCCTGTCTACCAAAGCTAGCATGACATGTCTGTGTCAAGAAATGATGCTCATGGCCCATCAGACTGATAGTCAGTGCATGCTGTTAGAGGCTAAGAACACAGTTACCCCTAGGTGAGGCATGGGAGCCTTCAACGGAGCACCCAGCATTCACACTTATTTGTGTGATTGTCTGACGGGCTGGCCAGCACCACACCCCATTTCGTCATCTGGGTAGCAGTTACATGCACTACCTATTTTGTGAAAACTCATCAAATGGACATTATCACTTATTTTGGCATGTTTTTACCCCACAGGTCTAATGCACTTCGGATAGTGGTTCTCAACTTGTGTGTTGGGACGTCTTTGGGCTTGAACCACCCTTTCAGGAGTTTCATAACAGATAGCCTGCAGAGCAGATATTTACATTATGGTTTGTTAAATTAGCAAAATTGTAGTTATGAGGTAGCAACAAAAATAATTTTGTGGTTGAGGGGTCACTGTAGAAGGAGAAATTGTACTAAAGGGTTGATGCATTAGTAAGGTTGAGAACCACTGTCTCAGGAGTTGTCATTTGGAGCAGTCTAGAATCATATGGCAGACAGGTCTCTGGGAGTGCCTGTGGGGGATTATCTTTGCTGGGTTTTCTGATGTGAGGAGACCCATGTTAGCCTCTGGCAGAACCCTTCCCTTGGTGAATACTAGGGTGTAAGGAATGGAGAAAGTGTGCTGAGCCCTGGCATACACTGCTCTCTGTTTTTATTTTTGTTGCTGTGTGACTTATCTCCAGCTCCCGCCTGCCTCCTTGACTTCCCTGCCATGATGGACTGTGATTTGAACTGTGAGCCCAAATAAGCACTTTCCTTCCTATGTTGCTTTTGCCAGGGTGTTTTTATCATAGCAGCAAAATGGTAACTAAGACTAATGAAAAAAAAAAAAGATACTGAGTCTTTTTCAGTGGCCTCTGCAATTCTGGGTAGATGGACTGGCCAGTCCCTACAAGGCAATCTTGCCCTGCTCAGGGGCCTTTGCACAGGCTCTTAACTCTCTCCTAGCCATCTCCCACTTCCCTTCTGGATATCTTTCAGATTTCAGCTCATTGTCCCTGGGAAAACCTTCTTGACCTTGGCTTCTAGGCCAGGTATTTTTGCCACAGGCTCATATAACTGCTTTAAACACTTCCTTTGGGTATGGCTATACACTTGTTTGTGCGATTAGTTTATTATTGTCTTCCCTAGCATACTAGGAGGCTTCAAAAGCAGAGGTAATGTTTGTTTTTCTGCTCACAATGATATCCCCAAGACTAAGTATGACACCTTAATACTATGAGGGGAAGTCAACATACATTTGTCCAGTAAATGAATAGTTAAAGGAATTCATGAACCATAATTGAAGGTCTGGCTGCACCTCAAATCTATTTAAAAAGAACGAGTTAAAAAATTTCTCTACCACCTTATACCATTGATATAAACAAGAGCTTACCTCATTTTCTGTCTTGTGAAATTGGTGCCCTGGGAAAGACACATCTATGTGTACACAGCTCTGTGTCCACTCTGGTACACCAACATGCTTTTTCGGGTTAGTAATGTATGTCCTCATTTTAAAGGCTATGATTTCTGCACTTGGCTACTCCCATGTAGTAGCTGGGTAATGAAATCTGGGATTCTGGAACCTTTGGGAATATTTGGGTCTCAGTGGCAGCATTAGAATAATAGATGTACAAGTGAGATATTCTCCAAAGTTACAGAAACATGTGATCTTCTTACTTAGGTTTTAAGAAAACCAGTTCTTGACCCATTTGCTCATATATTACTCCTTCTTCTCCTTTTCAAGACCAGGATGAGGAAACCCATAGACACAGCTGACCTGAGCTAGTGGGAGCTCACTGACTGGACTGACAGCAGGGAACCAACATAGGACCAGACTAGGCCCCCTCTGAATGCTGGTGACAATGGTTTTTTGAGCAGTTTGTAGGGGCATTGGCAGTGGGACCAGGATCTATCCCTGGCACATAAAACTGGCTTTTTGGAGCTCATTTCCTATGAAGGGATACCTTGCTCAGCCTAAACACAGCAGGGAAAGCTTTGGTCCTGTCTCAATGTAATGATGTGGCAGGCTATGTTGACTCCCCATGAGAGGGCTTACCTCACTGAGAAAGGGAGGGTGGAATGAAGAGAAGGTAGGGAGAGCTGGGGGAGGGGAGAGAGGGAGAACTGGGATTAGTATATAAAAAAGCAGGAGGGGTGTGGGTGGCTGGTGTGTGTGGGGGAGAGAAAACCAATTCTTTTCCATCATTTTAGAGAAGTTAGGGACTGCTTCCTCTCAGGTTAAATTCCCAGGTGGGTTGGTAAAACAGCTATAGGCAAGCTGAGCCTTGCTTTCCTCATCTGCAAAATGGGAAGACTGAGAACACCTATTCCTTAGAGTCGCTGTGAAGCGACTCTATAAGCACAATATTTAGTACAGGGTCTTAGCCGTGGTGAAAGGTCAGTGACATTTAGTTAATACATTCATGTCTTGGAGTTTGGGAGAAAAAGAAAATGGAAATACTGCCTTAGGCCTGCAAGGTACTTTTGTTCATTGAATTCAGGAAAGTTCTGATGGTATTCCTTTAAATACCTCTTCAGACGTGGTCGAATCTACAGCTTTGGTTGTTTGGTTGAGAAGGCAATTTCTCCACAAAGCACGTCTATTTAACAACAGTGAGGAAGTGGCAGATTTTGTGAAATCCAGGCCCTTGGTCATCGTTGGCTTCTTCCAGGTACTAGGGTAAAAAAGGTGGGAGGTGATTTTCCTGTGATGAGTACTATGTGTGGAGGATTTCTGATGTGTAGAAGGTCCTTGCTCAACTTTCCTATCCACTGAGCTGCTGTCCTGGGGGAGCTCCTGGTTTCAAGTGAAAAAAGAAAACATGGAAGTTGAAATATTAGAGGTTAGTTAGAAGGTGAGAAGAAATGGAGGGAACAAGAGATTGGCGTCCATATTTAGTTGGTTTTAATGCTGTAACTGATCTTTTGGGGGATCTATTTAGAATATCAGAGAATAAGAGGGTGTCTCTGTTTGCCAGTTCTAGAACTATTTTAACTATGATTCTAACAGGTGCTTGTTAGTCTGCTTCGGCTAAGCCAGTTTCTATCCACGAACTCTTTTCAAGCCTGCAAATAAACTAAACTCTCAACACTGTAGCAGGCACCCATCAGAGGGTCAATCAATCAATCCTCATCCAGATAAGGTACAGGGAGATGCTGGGGATAGCTCATAAAAAATGTAAAGGTGATTATGAAAAGTCTTAAGATGGCTTTCTATTGATTTCATTCTTTATAGTAATAAATCTTACCAAGTATGTGTGCTTGTAGAAAATGAGTTTTCATGTGTCTTAACTGATTTACTTTAGGTCAACAATGCTTCCTCTCAATAGATGTGGGTCTTTGCTATCATATTTACATGTAAGGAGAGTGCATGGCCCTTTCCTTTCTGCTTTCTCAAGAGCGTTTTGGGCCCAAATATTCTTTCACGCTGAATGTTGACTCTCAAAGGCCAAAAGTGCAGCTGTCTCAACACCAGCTTACATTTGGTGTTATGTGCAGTCAAATTAGTGGCTTTTTCTGAAAGTGATTCAGGAATTAATTTTAAGAATATTATTAATTCATGGGTTAGAACAGCCTTTATTTTTCATAATAGGAAATGGTAAAAAAAAAAAAAATACCTAGTTCTCTCCACTGACCTCTGAGGATTTGCCTGTGTGGGGTGCAGTCATAGCCAGGGGAACATTGTAGGTGGGAAACATCCATACAAGGGGACTTAGACTTAGACCACCCAGCAAAAACCTAGAACTTAGAAAAAAAGCCACTTTCCCTTCCAGATAGGCACTGTTGACACCCCCCAGAGAATTACAGAATGTGCTTTCTCACACAGGATTTAGAGGAAGAAGTAGCAGAACTGTTTTATGACATGATCAAGGACTTCCCAGAGCTAACATTTGGAATGATAGAAATAAAAAATGCTTTCGGGCGTTTCCATGTGATCCTTGACAGTGTCCTGGTGTTTAAAAAGGTATGTCTTCATCCTATATGACCATGAAGGCCTTTTACTTCACATTAAGTGATGGCATTTGGGGACAGGCTCTGACTCCATTACCTGTGAACTAAGTGTCTATAGACTAGCTTGACTTGTGAGAAATCTGTTTCCTGGACCTCCCACCCCCACCACTTTTCCTGCTTCTCTGCCTTTGCCAGTATCTGTTATTCATCAAGACTCAATCTCACAAACCTTATTTTATGATTCATGTTTTCCTATCCATCTCTGTCAACAATTACCATATGCCCATTGCTTATAAATCTCCATCTCCATCCAGATTTCATTGAACTCCAGATTTTGGTATGTAGAACCAGATAATCCATCATGGTTAATGTCAAAGTCATAATCTCCTCTCCAAGTTCTCTTAAGACTTGGAGAGTTGGCCAGGTGGTGATGGTTCACACCTTTATCCAAGCACTTGGGAGACAGAAGCAGGAATCTTTGAGTGTTCATGGTCAGCCTGGGCTACAGAATGAGTGCCAAGATAGCAAAGCTACACAAAGAAACCCTGTCTCAAAAAACCAAAGTGAAAAACAAAAAGACTTAGAGAGGCATTGGACATGGTGCCTCACACCTTTAATCCCAGCACTCAGGAGATAGAGGCAGGTAGATCTCTGTGAGTTCAAGGCCAGCCTGACCTATAGAGTGAGTTCCAGGATAGCTAGTGCTGATACACTGAGAAACTCTATCAAAACAACAACAACAACAAAGACTTGGAGAGTCATAGTCAAGAGTGTGCCACCTTCCCCTCATTTAGTGGAGGAAGCCAGAAACTACAGGTTTCATTTTAATATCTCCCATTTCTCCACCCGTCTCTCGTAGCCTATGCTCAGGATATGTCTCTTCCCATATCACTACTGTGACCACCCTAGCTGAAGTGACCATTGTTTCCAATAGCCCATTAGAATAGTTATTAAATTGGTCTACTTTGGTCTGCAGACAACCATTCTTTCCAAAATTGAAATCTGATGGTCTTGTCCCTCCTCCTCTTGGAAAGTCCTTGAATGCTGTGTGTAAGAGGGTGTGTGTGGTGTGTGCATGTATGGTACATGCATGTGAATGTGCTTGTGTTCACATGTGGAAGCTGGAGCAGGATATTGAGTGTCTTCCTCTATTGCCTTGAGTCAGGGTCTCTCACTGAACCGGGAGCACACTGAGCTTTTGTTAGGAGGGTGAAGACTCAAATCTTTAATGAGGTCTACAAGGCCTTCCACAGCCTGAGCTCTTTTAGTGACCCAGCCCACAACCCTGGGATCTAGACCTGAGCTTTTCATGTGGTAACCAGTAGTCTTTAACTATATAGATTATATAACTGCTTAGATGTAAAGTAATTAAGTCAAAATTTTAGTTTCTGTCTTAGTCAGATTTTTGTCCCTGAAATAAGTGAGAAAAAGAACTCAGGGAGGAAAATTTCACATTCATAGTTTCAGTCCATTATTACTAGGTGTGGGGGTGGGAACTGATGGGGCAGAGTGGCTCACGTGACGACAGTGGGAACAGAGATGGCTGTGCTGTATGGCTTTTCCTTCTTTTCCCTTTTATTGTGTCTGGGTGCCTTGCCTGTGGAATGGTGTGGCCCACATTTGGGCACATCTTCCCCTTAGTTAGTCCTCTGTGGAAACACCATACAGACACACCCTGAAAGCCTTACCAATCTTCTAATCAAACTGATACTAGATAGGTTGCCAGAGTTCCTCAGCCATGCAAGGCACATCTCCAGTGCCCTGGAGCCACTTGGGGTTGGTTGGTAGAACAGCATAGACACTCGAGCGTTTTCCCCATTGCAGTTCATGCCTTCCTGCCTCCCTACACCAAGTCAGATCCGTATAATAGCTGTTTTACTTACTGATGAGGTTAGTCACTCATTTGAGGCCACACTTGACATTAGTCATTGGAAAGCTTTTAAGATGGAGAATAAAATAATCTATCTTTTGAATGGAACAATGTAGGGTCAGAAAGTGATCCAGATACATACAGAACTCTAATATATGGCAAAGATAATTGAAACTACAGGAGAGAATTCTGTTATTAAATGTAGGATGTTTAGAATAACCAGATAGTTGCGAAGGGAAAATGCTGAAGCTGTAGGCAGGCAGCATACCTTAGATCAAAGTAAATTCCATATGACCCTGATTCAAAACTGTAACTCATGAAACCATATACCCATGTGATGATATAGGACAGTTTGTTTTCTTCTTTGTTGTGGTTATAATTTTATTTTATGTAAGTGGGTGGTTTTTTTCTATGTATGTCTGATCACCTTGGAGGCCAGAAGAGAGCATTGTATCTCCTGGTACTGGAGTTACAGAAGGTTGTGAAGCACCATGTGGGTGCTGAGAATAGAACCCAGATCCTCGGTAGAACAGCCAGTGCTCATAACCACTGAACCATCTCTTTAGCCCTAAGCCTGTTTCCTATACATGGAATTGGGACACTTTTCACAAAGCATGTAGAAACCCTATTAAACTTTTGTTAAACATGTACTGCCTACATATCTAAAGTTCTGCAGAATGAACCAATCACAAAATCTAAAACCAAATAACAATCATGGAAAATATTTTCTAGGTATTTTTGTATTTATTCTGATAAATACATTTATTAAGTACTTAGCTTCTATTCTCTACCTATAAGCAGAGAGATATATTTTATTTATCTACTAATTTTATTCTAATTATTTTTTAAATTACAGTTATACAATTTACCCCTTTCTTTCCTCCATCCAATCCCTCCCATGAACCCTTGTTCTCTCACATTTGTGGCCTCCTTTTATGTAACTAAATACCCATATAATGGTAGGGGAGGTACATCTTAAATAGCTAAGAATATAAACACAATGCTTATACTGTCCATTTTTAAATCCTGGCTCTGGGATTGAAAGGTAGAGTGCATACTTAGTGCATGTGAAGCTCGGGCTCAATCCTAGCAATAACTAGATAATTAACTCCTGCTTCCATCTCTTAGTAATCTTGGATAGGTCATTATACTTCTCTGAGTCGTAGTTTCCTCATGTGGAAAGTGGGAGAGATGTAAACACAACCCAGAAAGAAAGAAAATGAAGAAGGGGGTAAAGAAGGGTAATATTAGTGTATAGTTTGGGAATACTGTGAGTCCTGAGTACTGATGTGTCTACTGTTTGCAACTGTGGGTGGCACAGCACATGCTTTCTAATTAGTATTTTTTAGACTGTTGCTATAACAAGTAAAGACATGGAACTTTGTGTCCAGAGGATAACTATGGTTGTAACACACTAAAGCAAGAAAATGATGACAAGAATCAGATTTGTGTTCTAACAATATCAGGCTGTGGTGGAGGTGGTGGTAGTGGTGGTGGTGGTGGTGGTGGTGGTGGTGGTGGTGGTGGTGGTGTGTGTGTGTGTGTGTGTGTGTGTGTGTGTGTGTGTGTGTGTGTACACAAGTCAGTGGGGAGAATACTTTGAGTTTAGCTGAGAAGTTTGTACTAAGTTAGGACTGGTGGAGATGCAGAGACTATGGAATACTTAAACTGTAAACAATCATATTACCCCCATGTTTATCCAGATCCTTCTGGGATGTGGTTATATAGCAGTATTATAAATGCCACCTATCATTAGGAAAAAAAATCATAGGGGTAAAGGACTCAGAGAGCCTTTAGACCACAGTAAAGGTGTGATCCTGTTGGAGTTAGGAAGGCTGACAGATCACCTCTGATCAGAGGTGCCTCTCAGGATCTCCCCGATCTGGGTTTACCTTTGTATCCCTGATGCCTTCAGCCATTCTTTGGTAGCAGTGTGGCATGCCATTCAGCCTTGGTACATGTGTTTTTGGTGGATTTCAGAGCACAAAAACTGGTATTTCCATCAATCATATTGCTTTCCACATATCCACATTAAACATACAGACTGATTTGTTCAATGTTCTTATTTATTAAGTACTTAGATTATGTGCTATATATACCTGCCAACATCCTTAATGTTTTACGTTCTTACTGGATTATAGGGGTGTTGATTTTACATTTGTTAGGTGTATATATTATGCAAGCTGCTGTCCTTTAACATGCTTTTTCTTTGGCTCAAGGGAAAAATTGTGAAACGTCAAGAGCTTATTAATGACAGTACCAACAAAGATTATCTCAATCAAATTGTGAAACAACAGCTTACAGATTTTGTGATTGAATACAATCCTGAGGTCAGTGGGCAAAGGGGTGCTGGGAGAACTTCAGGAACCCTTGTGTGTACTTTGAATGACATGTTTTCTTTGCAATTTCAGAATAGGGATCTGATTTATGAACTGAGCATCTTGAATCACATGTTGCTCTTTATCTCCAAAAACTCAGAGTCATACAGCATCATAATCAGGCATTACAGAATGGTTTCAAAGGAATTCCAGAACAAGGTTTGTAGACCAACTCATAGTTAGAAGCTCTTTGATGGGGACACCAGAGCAGAGCAGCCTTGCTATTTGAGTTTCATTAGTTCCTAGCTTCTTAATGATTCTTTTCCCTTGATGAGGGGTCCAGAGCTGCAAGATGTTTTACTTGATTTGGCAGATTCTTTTTATCCTTGTGAATGCGGATGAACCAAAAAACAAACGCATCTTCGAGTACTTCCGGATCTCAACAGTCAATGTCCCATCTGTTCAAATCCTGAACTTGAGCTCTGATGCCAGGTACAAAATGCCCACAGATGACATAACCTTTGAAAACCTCAAAAAATTCTGCCGGAACTTCCTCAGCAAAACTGCCAAGGTAAGTTTGCTATCAGGTAAGTCATGTCTAGAACCTCAGGACCTCCTTACAATTTTGTTGGTTTCATTAATCTATAGTAAGAGACAGAGGAAAGGGCATCCCAAGGTTCAACATGACATAGGCTTTCTGTTTTTAGCTTCAATCATTGAAGCATGTAGCTTCTTCTGAGGCTGGAAATACACTACCAGTTCTTTGGTCATAAAGAAATTCCTAGTAGAAGTTCAGATGTTCTAGAAATGTGACTGGTCTCCTGAAGGAGGTTTTAATTCTTCCTACATCCTCATCTTGGAAAATTCACTTGACCTAGGGTTAGAGGAGAAGGAGATGGAGAAAACAGCAGCCAGGATTTAGAATCTAGAGCTTCAGAGATCTTTGGGTTATGTAAGGTGGAGAGACATCATCCATGCTGCTTAAAAGGTAGGTTGAGGAAGTTAACTATGAGCACACCTGATGAGTAATAGTGTTTACTTTACAAACTGAAATATCTTTAAGAGTAAATAGAGAATCCTCCAAACAGTTTTGGATAATGACAGGAGAACATGGAGAATCTTCAGGTAATTCCACATCTCTGGAGACCTTATTGTTGGCTGCGTTCATTCCCTTCTATTCCCATAGGAATCCTGCCTCCTCTACAACCTTCTTAAGGGGAAGTGCCTCTCAGACTCACATGATTGTGAAGTCAAGCAGAAATGCTGGTGTCTTTCCTGGTCCTTCCAATCCATTTATCTTTCAAGCATCTAAAACCCAACATTTTTTGCCTTTTATGCTTTTTTATGCCACACCACTTACTTCCATCCCATGTTGCTATCCTCTGACCACTTCCCATTCTCTCTCTGAGGATGAGGGCTTCTCAGTGGCAATTACCTCCATGCTGCTTAACCATCATTCCTAGGCATTAACATGCAACATGCTTATCTCTGTTCTCCATGAATTGGTATGCACACTCCATCTCAGCCTCCTGCTCATGTGTTCATCATCTAGACCAGAGTTTCCCCAAAGGCCTCACTTCAAGCTTGTCCTCCTCACTTCTCCACTGACCACACTGCTAACAAGCCTCACCCTTTCCATGACCTTCCGTCTTTAGATGTTATTTCAGTCTCTCTTGTGCCTTCTTCATGAACTTGGATTCTATGTTTTGTCACTCTGATAAACTTCCTCTTCTCTCCATGTTCCACTTTCTTCTTTAGCCTGGAGATGTAGAAGGCAAACATGCAACTCCTGTTGAGCCCATTTAAGATATATGCTACTTCTATAGTAAAGATGGGGAAGAACAACACCATGAGACTAACATGGACACACCAACCAAACTTCCCCATACCAAGAAAAAATGCCCCATCATCTCTGTCTGAATCCCTCTTTACCTTTAGGTCAATTTCTCTCCTGTCCCATTCCTACTTTCACTCTCAACTCAGCACTCTACTCATATATCACCAAGGAAAGAGAAGTCTTCATGCTGGAGGCCTCCTCACATTCCATTATCACATCCACAATGTCCCTAGCCTCTTCTTCCCTCCAGTTAGATGTAAGGTGTTTCTCCACTCTTCAAAAGCCAACATGTTCTCTTGTGCTCTCAGAATAGATAAACATCTTCCACACTGCAAATGATCTCTGCCTGATTTGCCTATTCCTAATTCTTCACTGACTGCTCATCATCTGTGTCCAGTCTCCCCCTACCTTTATGCTTCCAGTGAAAGAGCCTTTAAGTCATTTCCAGAGGCTATGAGATAGAGGAAGGGCAGTACCACTAAAGAAAAAGCAAAAGTTTGACAAAAGCCAGACAGCTAGGACTTCATAAGCATACAAAAGATTTGGCATCCTACATGCAAGAAGAAACCAGAACTCTGGTAAAAATAGAGCCTTAACTGCAAAAAAAAAAAAAAAAAAAAAAAAAAAAAAAAATATGGCATGTAGAGGATTTGGAGGAGATGCAGGGGGAAATCATGTAAGAATCATGGTAGCGTAGTCACAGGGAAAGTGGAAAAGAGGGTATAAATTCAAGAGATACCCAGGAGTCAGCGATTGTACAGAAAAATATATTCCAATATTTCTAAAACTTTCTTTAAGCCAAAACAGCTGATGAATCCATTTTCTTCATTTGAAATTCTTCACTGAGGTCTTTTTATGTGCAGACACTTGATAAGTAAAGAAAAAAGTCCTTTAAGGCACCATCTAGCTTGGCAGAAAAATAGAAAAATAATTGATAATAACACAAGGGGACATTTAAAAGAAATTATCATTTTGAAGAATAAATTTGAGTTTACTGGATAGAGGAAGGAGAGGGAAACTTGGAGAAGGCCTTCCAGGCTATGGGAAGAACATACCAACCTGAGGTGGAAGACAGTTAGGTTTGGGGATGAACTGGTGATCTAGCTCAAGATGAACTAGCTCAAGAAAGCCAAGGAGGGAAATAGCAATGAACTTGGGGGAAGCTGGCACAGAAATGCCTTGATCTTGACTCTCATTGTTATTGGGGACAACCATTGTTTACAAGCAGTCTAATTGGGATACTAATGACAAAGTCCTACTGTCATCTGAGAATCCTGAAAATCATAAATGTGGATAAATCAGGTCTCTGAACCCCCTCAGTGCTCTGACCCTCTCAGTCTCTGATCCCCCTTGGTGCTCTGAGTCCCCTCAGCATCTGGCTCCCTTCAACCTCTGACCCCCTCAGCACTCTGACCCCCTCAGTGCTCTGACTCCCCCCCAGTGCTCTGACCCCCACCCCATCCCAGCACTCTGGCCCCTGTCTGCTCTGGACAATGCAGAACTGAATTTGTGACTATCTCCGCATTTCAAACTTTCAAGAGTTTATTTTTCCAAGACAAAGCCTTTTGTTGTTTGTAATTGAGGGTGTGGGGATCCCAGTTACTTGTTCTTTGCTAGAGTGGAGAGTGTTAGACCTCTTAAATTTGCTTCCTAGAAACACAAATCCAGTGAAGAGATTCCAAAATATTGGGACCAAGGGCCAGTTAAGAAGCTTGTGGGGAAGAACTTCAATGTGGTTGTCTTTGATAAGGAGAAGGATGTGTTTGTGATGTTCTGTAAGTATCTCTGGAGACAATGAGAGGGTAAGGGCCCCAATATTACTTTTCAAGTATTTCTTCTGAATTTTGGGGCAGTGCAGTCTCCAAACCCATAAACTCTAAAACCTGCCTGAGAGTTATCTCCTCTCTCTCAAAAAAGATTAGATCAAAATACCATCAGCCACAGGCAACTTGGTGTCCCAAACCAATTCTTAGCATGTTGAATGCTTTACACATGATCCAGTCCTATGATAATTTGTATCAGTAACATGGTTTTGTTGGATGCAACAGTATGCTAGGGCTCAAGCATATGCCTATGCCATTTCATTCCCCACCTCTTGGAAGCAGCTGCTATTATGCCTTCTATGTATGGATCACTGAACAGAATCTCAGGAAAGAAGCATTCCCAGTGTCACTCACAAGTGCTGGAAATGGGGTTTAAACATTTTCAGTCTGGCTCTAGCCAGACTCCATTCATATTATTCAGAATTCCCCTGCTTTGACCTTATATTGTTCATCCAATGGTCCCTGTGAGGTAGGGGCACAAATGTGTCATATCAAGGACTTTTATAATGTGTGTCATGTTGCAAGCACTCCCCAAGTGATGGCTGCTGTTACTCCCATTATAATTATTCCCACCTTTTATCTAAGGATGATAGCCCTTTCCCATTATCTTTAGTTATATGACAGTCTCCCCAAGTTAGAGACTTCTCTCCATGAGACACTGGAAAAGGTGACTCCAAAGCTGCTTCAGACAGGCAAAGATACTATTTAGTGAGCTTGTACACTGAGCTAGGTTTAAGTGCAGCATGTTACAAAAAGCTGTAAAGAAGGCACAGTGGGTCTCCCCATGACACAGGTCAAGGTCACATGGTAAGTACTAAGACCCAAATTGAAGGCAACCCTGTGCTGATTCCATTGTACATCCTTTCATAACCTCTGTGAAGCAGATACTTGTCCACTGACAGTGCTTCTGAGAGCTGTACAGCTGAGTCATAGCTATCTGCTCCCTTTCATCCCAGAGCTGGGACAGCCTTTCTGTACTTACCCAACACAGAGCTCTGAGAACACTCATTTGCTTCTGATAAAAGGCAAGATCAGCCTCATTTTCTTGGAAGTAGGGCTGTTGGATTACACCCTACAGCTTCAGCTATTATCCCCTGTGTTCCTACCCAGGGCCCATCAGGCTCCAGGGGTCTCTGGGTGCTGTAGGCAGGAGGTTGGCCACATGGGGCACTTGGCTGGTAAATGGATAGATGGGCTTGCAAAAATGTAATGTCAGGACCCCTGAGGCCATTCACTCCACAGAGCAAAACTCTTGAGTTCTGAGCTTCAGATGAGGGCAAACCAGTGAGGTCTGGCTTTCTCTATTTTGTATCTGCACTCTGATCTCTTTCCAAAGGGCCAGCTGTCTGGCCTCTCAAAGTTCAAGGAACTTTGTACAAGAAAAGCCAGTGTCCCCTGCCAAGGGTAGTTTTCCCAATTTTAGCACATACATGTTCATTTTTTTGGGTATGTTTTTTCCCAAGGAACTGAAAAGCATGTTATAGTGTTATGTATTAATATATATTATATAACATTATGCTATGCCTTATTTGTGGTATAATCAAAACCACATGACCAATCTCAAGTCTTATTCCCTTTGCTTAATTTTCTGGATGACCTTGGCCAAGTAGCTTAACTTCTGTACTGTAAACACACACATTTCTTGCAGACATAACAGCAGCATAAATTTTTTCCCCTGGTCTTCTCTTCAACTAAAGTGGAACACTATGTCAAAAGGATGTTTTTTATTTTTAAGAACATATTAGCACATGGAAAATATTAATGTTCAGCAGGAACAGGACTAGGATAATCTTTATTCTGGTTTACTAAATAGTGATCATATACCAAGATACACAAATAACCTATGGTGTGTGTGAAAGAGTGTGTGGGTCACTGAGTAGATGCATGGTAAGAAGAACACAGTGGTGCTATGTGGCATTAGCTTTCAGGGTCCTGGACAGTGAAAGCTGAGCAAGACCCTTCTTTTACAGATGCTCCTTGGTCTGAGAAGTGCAAAGCATTATTCCCACTGCTGGAAGAGTTAGGCATGAAGTACCAAAACCACTCCACAATCCTCATCGCCAAGATTGACATAACAGCAAATGACATTCAGCTGGCCAACCCAGATCAGTATCCATTCTTCAGGCTTTTCCCTACTGACTCACAAGAGGTGAGGAGCTCTTGGGACCACATATTTGAAAATGTTATATTATTACCAGGAACTCAGCTTCTCTCCAACTCAGCCCTCTACTGAATATTCTCAGCTCCAGTCCCTAATATGCTCTCATATTCAAGTATAGAGTATTTTCCAGCACATTCCAGTAAGTTCTAAGACTTGTTACTGTTTCACACAACTTGAGTACATTGCTTATTGTTGTCCAAACACTGTGTCAAATGGAAGTGGGTGTTTTGCTTTGACAGTTTTAAGTTTCCTCTAGTATCAAAGCTGGGCTATCCACAAGTTACAGAGAATAAAGTAAGGGCCTCTCTATAGGAATATTGGGGTGGAATACTACCAAATTAAAGAACATGTGCCAGGCATCAACAATCTACCCCTGGGAATTCTGTTCCTTATGCAACCATCACCAGGGCTGGTGGAGCATACTCCCTATTGATGGGGAAGAGTATCAAGAAAAGGGGCATGAGCCAATGTCCTTACTCCAGACAAGAGTGGATGAGTGGGAGGTAAAGTCATAATGACATGGATCACCTATGTATGCAATGGGGAGAGCAGAATCTGGAGAAGAGATATGGCTAAAGTCTTCATGCAGACTTGGGACTCTGGCGAATGGTGGAGATTTAAATTAAAGGAGGGGTCATGAACTCTATAAGTAACGTGAGTGATAAGGTGGGCAGACTGCACAAAGCACTGGAAGATGCCATCCCAGTACAGAAGGTCCATGTAGAAAAGCTGTAGGAAATGAGGTTAAATTGACAGGATGAAGCCACCACCAATTTTAAGTTATACAGTAAAAACCAGTTAACCAACCCACAGGTAGTAAGTAGCTTTCTAATCCCCTTAAAGACCCACAAAGCAAAGGAAACTATTACAAATGAATTCTGATCATGCTGTAGGTATTTTATAAGTAACAGTTATTTTCTTATTATTGTTAAAATGTTACTAATGTCAGCTGTTCATAAGAGCAAATGTGTGTGGTACCTAAGTCAAACACTGCTTTAAGCACGTTTCCTTTATTAGCTCATTTAATCCAACAACGCTGTGGAGAAGCTCCTGAAATTAATGCCACATGGGGAAACTGAGTCAAAAGATCAGTAAACAGACCACACTGATACGTATTGCAGCCAAGAGTTAGACCTATAAAGTGTGGCTTTATAGTTCATGCATGAGCCATTCCTCATATCCTCTGATGAGTTTTTATCAGAGCCATGGTAAAGGAGGTTCACAGAGGCTATGACACTTTTTTTTTTTTAAGTAAATCCACATTGTTAAGAATTTAATCCCAAGTTTCATTTTGTAACACTATGCGAACAATTTATAAGAAGAGGCTCCCATCTTAATCCTGCTTTGTTGTCTTCCTAGGCTGTCCTGTATAAAGGAGAACACACTGTGAAGGACTTTTGTGACTTCCTGGAACGCCATGTCAAGATTAGGATTGAGGAAGAGGATGAGGTAAGGGGCAGAGCCACAGGATGGGTCTTCCCTCATGCACACAATTACCAGGCAGCCAATGGCCCACATAAAATTATGCCTTGAATCCTATCAATAATTCCATTCTCCCTGGAGGTGGTTTTGAGGTTGTGTGGACAAGCATTCATTTTGAGTAAGCTCACTGGTGATTTTAAGGTAACTTGTGACAAGAAAGTTAGAAAACAGACTCAAGTAACATACAGCCTTCAAAACAATGTGCTTGTCACTTTCCTGAAATGGTAATCAAATGTCTCCATGACATTGCTCTGGCATTGCTGCTCTAATGGATGTGACCAGTCTTCTCTTTTTCCTAACCATGTCACAGTGGGCTAGAAGCTGCCATCTGAACCAGTTAGGATGCTTTTTGTTGCTAATATCAAAGACACTCCTTGCCTGCTTTAGCAACAATGGGCATGTATTTACCTAGTAGGACATTTTGCACAGATGGATCCAGAAGCTCATATCTGTCTTCTGTCTTCCCATATGTTTTCTTCTGTCTTGGCAGTTTTCACAATCAGTCACTTCCCCACAGATAGGAAATATTACTCCATGGCTCCAAACTTACCTTGTCCCAGTTTAGAAAGATAAAATCCACTTTTCAGTAATTGCAACATGTATGCTAGAGAGGGATCTCATTAACTAAAGCCAAAGTCACCTGCTTTGTCCTGGAGTTAGGGAATTGGCAGCCACACCTGTCATAGGAGAAGTGTGTGCCCCCTGACAAAGGAGTCAAAACCATAGTTGGGTACTTTGTCATCCCACTGTCTCTATGAGGGCACTTTAGCCAAATATGATTCTTTCTGGGCTCATGCAGAAGAGCCTTGCCCATTGTCGCCATATGATCATTCATATTTCTTTTTTATACATATTTCTTTATTCTCCTGCCCCCTCCTTCTCTCATTCCTACATTTTCTTTAACAGCTATTGTCCATTGATCAAAATGAAGTGATAGAGGAGGAAGTGATAGCTGAGCCAGAGACCCAGATCTTCGAGAAGTTGCCTGAACAGCAGTTGCTCAAGCTGGAGGGTGCAACCGTAGAAGTCAGGCAAGCAAAAGAGTCACCTGTGCTGGAGAGCATAAGCAAGCTGGCAGAGCCAGTGAGAAGGACAGAAACAGCTGAGAAGGAGGAGGAGGCTCAGCGGAAGCAACCACCTCAACCAGGGAGGAAGCCGGAAGTCAAAGAAGAACTTTAGCTTCTCAGAAGCCAGGAAGGAAGGAGCCTAATTCCAGTTCCTGGCAACAGTTTCTGAGCAAATGTACTCTGACAATGCCATATATCATGTGGTTGGGTGGGTGGGGGCTAGACAATAAAGCCCAGAAGTCTTTGATCTTCTTTGCTCATTTCCTCTTTCTCCTGATTAGAAGAGCCACTTGTCCTGGAATTGAGCCATGATGCCAATACTGAGTAAGTGTTCACAACTCCCTACCCCTCACCTTCATCACTAGAGGCCAGCTTCTCTGTCTCCATTTGCAGATGAAGAACCAGAGGCACAGAGAGATGAGCAATCACTAGAACCACAGTTTGAGGACTTTGAGAATATTGTATCTCTTACATCATTCTAGAGTTCATCTACTTGTCACTGTGAATGACACCACAGGCTAGTTGGGCCACCTCAGGAGTTTGGGTAAGTCTTGCAAATGAAGTGCATTGATATGCTTATGGTGCAATTTGACACCATAAGAGATCCAACTCTAAGCTTGTCTCTAGACATCTACATGCCAGTAAGTGACCCACCATCAAGTAGTCATGCCAGAATCATCCTGTGATCTCTTCTCTTACAGCTATAAACTCGATCCACATGATTTTGCCTAGTCCCCCACCCACATGACTTTAATCTCCTCTTTCCATGTGACCCCACATACTTCCTATGTGATTCCAGATGCTTCCTTTCATGTGACACATCCTGCTCCTTCTATGTGATTCTGCCCATCCATGTGACTCCACCCACCTCCCTGCGAGCAGAAGACTCAAAATTGTTCTTTCTCTTGATATTCTCTTTGTCCTCTCTCCACCTCCCCCACCCCATATTCCTACAGCTGTGGAGATATTTTCAAGCACCACAGTTCTCAGTGCTTCCTGTATCTGCCCTGTCTCCATCCCTTAACTGGCATTTTCATGGAATTTAGAGTATTTTCAATCTTCTTTTTATTCTTGCAGAGTCTTGAGGGGCCTAGGCTTGGAGATCTCTATTACTCCTCAGTTCTCCAGTTTCTATGCATCATCCACATATCTTGTGTATTCTTTGAACACAACAAATTCTCTCCATGGGGTTGTTCCCTCTACCTGAAGAGTGTGTCCTCAGAATACTTATCCACTCCCAACCCCATCTTCACACAGCTGTGATTTCATCATTCAAATACTAACTCAAATGTTGCCATGTTTAGGATGTCCTCCAGGACACTAATATTTGAAAGCACTTTGTTATTTCATTAAGTGATTCCACAATGCCTTCTCCCATCCCTACCCACCATGACTAGTCCCATAAATACAGAGATGCTGCTTTCTTAGTGCCAGCTGTGTGTTCTGAATGGTACATAGTAGATGCTCAATAAATGTTCTTGGAGAAAATGGAATCATCAGGTAGTACCCTCTCTCTGAGAGATAGATGATTTCATTGTTCTCTCCCAGGGAAGAGGTAAGAACATTGTCCCCAGGCCCAGGCTTGTCTGCATTAACTATTTCTAAAACAGTCTTAATGACTTAAAACAACATGGACTAATCTTCAAATGGTTTGAGAGGCCAGAAATCAGACATCAATTTTATAGGTTAGTCTTGGTACACACCTGTAATTGGAGTGTTCAAGAGGTAGATGCTGGCAGGGGGTGGGGGTGGGGGGTGGGGGGTGGGGGTGGGGGGTGAGGGTGGGGGGTGGGGGTGGGGGGTTATGATTTATGAATTTGAGCTAGCTGGTAAGATTCTGTCTCATTTTTTTTTTTCATACTGGGTTAAATGTCAAGGTTCCTCAAGGTTGGTGCCTTCTGGAACCTTTGCCTTGCAGTCTCCTGGGGGCTGCCTATGTGCCCTGGATTGTGCTTTATCCTGGAATCCCTCTGACCTTACTCTTCACCCTCATATCTCATTTCCTTTGCATCCATCTTCTAAGCACTGTTGTGATCACATCCAAACTTTGGGATCCCCCCATCTCTGTCTCCTAGCTTAACCACACACACACAATACTTTTCATTCTGCAAAGCAATATTCATGGGTCCCAGGGATTAGGATGTCAGTATATTTTGGGATCATTATTTAGTGCTTCATATTCATTCTGTTTATATGATTTGTTTCACTGGGGGCTAATGGGACTTCTGAGAAGATTATTGTAGGGACTGTGCATGCTAAAATCCCTCTAGGCCTCTGTGCTTTCCACTCATCACACAAGACAAAGTCTATTTGTGTTTTTAGACCCCTAGAAGCAGTCCTTCCCCCCATACCTGATTTGCCCACATCCGGGTGAAGCAGGGAACAGCCTGGGGCCCTGGAATTCAGTAGAGCCATATGCCCCCATGGGGGTAGGTTTTAGTATTCAGGGCACGATGCGAGACTCACCTGCCTGACCTCACAGCCGTGTGGTTACCTGTCAAAGGAGGGGTTCATGGGGGCTGCTGAGACTAAATCACGTGGATCAGAGCCCATGACAGCAGTGAAATGGAGAACAAGGCTACCACATGCACGTTCCACAGGTGAACCTACAGCCTCAGAGGTGGGAAGAGAAGAAACAGCAGAGAGATGGGGCACAGATACCCCCAATGTATCTGTATCTGTAACCCCTTCTGTCTGCTCAGTTTCTCAAAACCCACCATCCTCTCAACTCCAGCCTGCCAAAAAAGATGGAATATTTGTCACTCTAAGATCCTTCTATGGCTAAGCATGGAATACTCTTTACCCCTCAGGAAATTAGGTTGACTGAAATGGTAAATCTCAATATAATTTGGGCTTCAGTTTGCAGTTAGTACTAATTAGCTCTGTAACCTTGGGAAGTTACTGAGTTTCTCAGTCTTCTGTCTTATTTCACTGAGACAACATAGAAAACAGAGTCTAGATATCTTTAGTCACCAAATAAAGTTTCCAATTCCAGGAATGAGTTACATCCAATGCAGTTGTTGGCTGAAAGGGTCCCATGGGAATCTCAGAACAACTCAGGCTATTGCCATGGCTTTTGATGGCTCTCAAGGTCTTCTAGACACAACAGGGAGGAAGAACATATGGACTCACAGAGACTGAGGCAGACAGCACAGGGCCTGCACCTGCAGATCTGCACCAGAATGGGTTCTAGAGTTTAGAGAAGAAGTGGACACATGCCTCCATCCCCACCCAGAGGCAGTCTCCAATCGATAAACATTTGCAAATGCAAATTACTTTCCTCCAAGGGAGTCTCACTGAGGAAACAAACCACTCCAGAGTAGACCCATGCCTGGCACTAGATGGCCAACACAAAACAAACTCAATGTTTTTGGAGGTTCTTTGTCTCATAATCTTAAGTCAGGGAACTTTTTTGTTTCTTCCTATCTTACACTTGCAAGTCCTTTGTATATTTATTGTTGTTTCCAGTTTGGGGTTTTTATAGGATTCTTGAGTTTTGTTTTGTTTTGTTTTAATGTGTGTATCTGCATGTATATGCATTTCTTGTGCTTTTCCTTTGGTTCTTTTTACTTGATTGCTTTGTAATTTTTCAGATTTTTTTGTTATTTATTTTATTATTACTCCCTAGATGCCTATTTTTTTTACTAATGAGAGACAAACAGTGTGGACCTGGATGGAATGAGATGTGGGAAGAATTGGGAGGAGTAGGGAAGAGAACATCCTAATCAAAATATATTTAATATTTAAAACCTATTTTTAATAAAAAGAAAAAGCACTGTGTGGCCCAAGAGAAGCACTTGGTAAGCAACAGTTGCCATTACATTCAAATAAAATGCCATGTCTGTATTAGTGAGTTAAGAAAGAAGAGTATTTCAAGGAACTCAAGTCTTCTTCAAAACCAAGTATGTACTGAGTGAAGACTAAGATTGCATTTGGCAGCATGGATGCCTTTAATGATGTGGGGTAATTTCAGTAGAGTTAGTGCTTGATAAAGCATACTGATGTGACCTGGAGAGAATATATACATGCTTGGAGAAATTTGATCATGAAAAATATGATATAAAATAGCTTGGCTGTGTGGGATCAAAGGAGTGAAGGTTATTCTATATAGGAGGAGGGAATAAATACAGAGAATGGGAAAATATTGGAGCACTTGAGGAGAGAGGGATCTTCCTAAGAAGTGAATGCTGTGGCCTTCATCTCAAGGAGAAGAGATGCAGGCAACCCAAGATGATGAGTGACCAACAGCATCCATGAAGGATGCCTGGAAGTCATCTAGTGTGCATTACTGGTGAGAGGGGACAAGAATTAAGGAAGACAGAATGATAAAGAAAATGACTGATAGAGACACACTACAGATAGTCCAGATATATTGAATAAAACCAATGGTTCTTATCTCCAAATGTAGGTTTTAGCATTATGATGATAAGGCAAGGCCAATGGCAATGTGACACTGCCATCAACAAGGTAGCTTGTTATGTTCATAGATCCTAAAGCAAAGGGGACATGCCATGCCATGGAGGCCAGGGGAATGGAAAAAGAAGGTATGTGCCAAAGTACCAGAGGGGTCAGAAAGGAAGGTAGCAGAAGGGACTGTGTGTGTGTGTGTGTGTGTGTGTGTGTGTGTGTGTGTGTGTGTGTGTGTGCATACCTGTGCACATTAGCATGTGAAGGCTAGATGCCAACCTTGGATGACATTCTTCAGGGCCTAGCTACCTGCTTTTGAGACAGGGTCTCTCACTGGCCTAGAACTTATCAAGTGGGCTATATTGATTGGGCACCAAACCTCAGGAAACATATGTCTATGTTTCCCAGTGCTGATATTACAAGTGCACACCCTCACACCCAGCTTTTTATGTGAGGGTTGGAGATTGAACACAGGTCCTTATGCTTATGTGGCAGACACTTTAGTAACTGAGTTACTTTCTTAGTACCCTACTGAGATTTCTTCAGGTGGGAAAGGAGGGGTGAGCTAAGCAAGTTTAGGACTGGTTGGTTTCTTGAATTTCAGTGGGTTCTGGGAAATGGTATCTGTATTCAGTTTTCTAGTTCCCAGCTGGCTTTCTGGGGTGAACAGAAGAGGGGACAGTAGCCCTGCAAGACAGCACCACTAAGGGGACAGGCTCTGAAGTGGTTGGTTAACATATAAAAGGCTCTTTGTAGTAAGTTGTTTGCCATCTCCAGGGACTAGCCATATGGGACTGGTTCAGGGTGTGTGGCTTCTGGCTTGATCTCTAGTGAGTCTATCTCTGTGACTCCATATCAGCAAAGCATTCATCACAGAACTGGCTTGAATTAAACATCACCATGTGTTTCCACTTGCATCATCTCTGCTAACCACCATTGCAGCTCAAGGGGAAGGGTATCTCATTTTAGAGGTGAAGAAACGGACTCATGAAAGAGAAGAATTAAATTCCCTGGGATACAACTCATGGTGGACCTAGGCAAACTCAGCATGTTCAGGTTCAAGGTTGTTCCTCAGCCCAAGGAACTTCCGCTCTTTGGAGGTTCTTGTCTTCAAACCTTCTGGTCTATAGAGGTTAAAACAGATGGTCTTGTGGTCTTGTTGTCATTCTCAGAGACTCTTGCTCCTAAGACTCTAGGGGAGAGAGCTGATCTGAGGCTGTTCTTCAGAGCAGGTGTGTTCCAGACTTCAAAACTGTCTATCCTAACACAAAGTCACTTCACACACTGCCTTCTGCCTGTCGTCTTGGGCTTGGGTTCCACCTCGTCCTTGCCCAGGACCAATAAAGAGCCCAGCATCTTGGCACTGCTTTGCCAGTTAATGTCTAACTGAGGAATGTCTTGCCTCCAAAAGGTGAAAAACAGAGACCTTGTATTTCCAGGCACAGGTGTGACCCGTAATGTCAATCATTTTGTGTCTCTAATTATTAGGGAAAAATAACAACAGTCTCATGGCTTGGAAAAAGCGAACACTATGCCAAAGGGAAAGAAAAATTCAACCCCCATAGAAACAATCTCAAGGAGCAGAAGCAGAGAATAAGTGGAGGAGAGTGTGCCAGCCAAGGGCAGATGTGTATATATTGGTCAGAAGCACTTACTTAGGAATGGACCAGTCCTGTCCTCCTGGGTTCAGGTAAGGCTATCTGGAGCCATCATCTCTCCTGTGTCCACTTCTCTGCTCTATATTCACATTCTCATTCAGGGAGGTGGCCAAGGAAATTTAGCTTCTGGACACTGGGGTCAGAGAAGCAAGACTCATTTCTCAACTGATTGTCAACTTTGTAATCTGTGACATGTCAACTTCTCTTGGAGGCTAACTATTTTTCCTCTGTTTAGAGGTATTCATGATGCATAAGCTATGTGCTAGGTACTGGGGTTATGGCAATGAACAAAAACATGGGCTGTTTGCTGAGTCTTTACATATGTCATTTAAATTAACCACAGGAATGCCACAGTGCTTTCCAAGCTACACCATTGGTTGGTGGTTTTTATTAGAATTTTCTTCACTAAATAGACTATGTCATCAAGCAACATACAATGTAAGGATAAGCATTATCTTATAAAACTTTTATCTATCATCTATCTATTTGTGTATATTTCTTATACCTCAGACTCAGAAGTCTAGAAACCATTTGTTTTTAAAAATATATTAATTTTATTTATGTTTGTGTGTATGTAACTGCATAAATTTATGTGCAACATTTATATACAGGTACCCTAAGAGCTAGAGGGTGTTGAATCTCCTAAAACTGGGGTCTCAGACAGTTATGAGCTGCCTAATGTTGGTGCTCGGCACCTGACCAGGTCCTGTGCAAGTGCAGTGGGCACTCTTAACTACCGAGCCATCTCCCTAGTCCTGGGAACATTTGTTCTTGCACACAAGTTCTTTGAGCGTAGAACTAGGTCTGACATCGCCTATATACCAGTTGCTGGAAGAAGTGGTCCTCATTGCATAGATGAGAAAACCAGAATGTATCACCTGGCATCACAGTACTGTGATAGGTAACACAGACACTGGGCTCTGATTCTTTTCATTTTCCAAGTGTTTATTCCTGATACCATCCTAGTTTGCTGCATAAAACTCAGGGTAATACTTGCATCCATCTAGAATTATTTTACCTGTTGCAATCACAACCATTTTGAAAACAGTAATATGTGCTATTGTTAAGTTAAACAACTCTAGAGTTCCTTATCTTGCATCATTTCTTTACATGACCTGTGTGAAGATGTCGACTGTATGCACGATTCTCCTTGGTATTTAGCTCCTTGATTGGCACAGAGTAGCCAAACAATAGATGTTTGTTGAATGAATAAGTAGGTGTGAACAAACTTTAAATGCCGATAATCAGGAGCTGTCTGTAAAAGCCCAAAGCTGCCCCTAGTAAGGTTGTGAGTGCAGAGAACCCCACCCCATTTTGTGACTTTTTGCTCCAAAAGATTCAGTTCTTCAAAATGTGCAGTACCTGATGTTTGAGTAGATGGAATGGGTCATGGGTAAGGAGTAAGGGTGTGTCCACAGAGGCTTCAGAAGCCCACCCACTAGAGCTGCAGCCCTGCACTTTTCCTGATCCGTATAAATGGTGCCTTCTGATCTATATAGATGTTGCTTCCTGCTCCACATAAATGGTGCACAACCAAAGCATTCTGTCTGCCTATGGGGAGGGGCATTAGCTCACACAGGTGTCTCACTCACTCCTGTTCTCAGGATTTCAGGTATTAGAAACACAGGGAAAACACATAACCCACCATTACCTTTGGGCAGGTGTTTCCAGGACCAGAAATAGAGGGAAGAACAGGAAGGATGAGGTGGCTGTTCTCTTTGCCCTGGATACTGGTGGTAATGGTGGTAACCCCTTGGTTCACTATAGCTGGAGCCAGTGACTCATCAGAAGCAAGTAAGAATGCATGCATGTGTGCATATGTGTGTGTACATGTATATGTAGTGCTGTTTCCTGTGCTTAAGTAAATCCTTAATTAAAATTAAGCAATCTTAATCCCTCTTTTAGCACACTTGGCATGATCTTTATTCTAAACCCATTTTGTGGATTGTAATGTGCCCAGGACTTACTTGGAAGTTTTTCTAAGATGAAAATTCTGGTTTTAGTATGTCTGACAAGGGGTCCAAGACTTTGAATTAATAACCAGGTTGGGTGATGTTGATGTTGGGGCAAAGGGCTAGAGCATCTCCAAATCTTTCCTGAATTTCTCTGAAAAGTCACAAACATGCCCAGATCCACAGGAGATTTCAATAGCTCTGATGGCTCACGGGCACCTCTCCTTTAAATGTGGGGTCATTCCATGGGGCTCCCATCATGGAGTACTCTGGAGCCACAGTAAATATAATTGTGGGGTCATGGTTAAAGCACATGTTCTGTGGTCATGCCATGCATGTGTATCACGCTTGCCAACTTGTGAGGGACTTACTCCTTCTAGATCTCAACATTCATGCCTGTAAATAAAGAAAATTAAAACGGGGCCACCGGCAAGTAAGGTTCAGAATGACAAGTGCAGATCCTTTTGTCAGACATGCAGCAAGGAATGCTAAACAATAGTGCTTTTCTTTTCACTGTTAAAAGTGAGTGTGAGTGTCCTATCAAATGGGCTGGAAACAGTCTTCAGAGAGAAGGGACACTGGACAAAGTCTTGGTGAAGGCTGCACAGGCAGAGAAAAGGACGTGGGAAGAAGGGACAAACTGTTGTAAAGACTGGGAAGGGCTGGCATCTTAACCACACATCCTCCACAAATATCAAGAATATTGTGTGCTGTGCCCTTGGATGTGACAATATGGACATTTTAAAAGAAGGCACAAAGGGGAAGGTCATGCTTAACTGGATGAACAATCTACTTAGGGCAGGGTAGGTGGGTTGGTTTCAAAGGTGTCAGTAAGGTAACAAGTCCTTTGAGAAGCAAGGAATAAACTGTGCTGAAACATCTGCCCAGATGCCTGGGGTTTTGAAGTTGGGATCTTCTGTCTGCAGGAAAGTGTTCCGAATGCCACAGCAATGCCACTTGCTTGGAGGATGGAGCGGTCACAACATGCTCCTGCCAGATGGGCTTCACTGGCAATGGGCTGGAGTGTGAGGATGTAGATGAGTGTGCCATCCCTCAAGCTCACAACTGCTCTGACAACAGCATCTGCGTGAACACACTGGGTTCCTATGAGTGCACCTGCCAGAATGGCTTCCGTCTGATGCCTGAGCTGGGCTGCACTGATGTGGATGAATGCACAGAGCTGGGACTCAGTGACTGCCATGCCCTGGCCACCTGTGTCAACACAGAGGGCAACTACTCGTGTGTGTGTCCCAAGGGCTACGAAGGGGATGGCTGGCATTGTGAGTGCTTCCCGGGTTCCTGTGGACCAGAGCTGGACTGCTTGCCCCAGGGCCTGGGTGGAGCCCTGGTGTGTGAGGACCCCTGCAATGTGCATGAGACCCTGGCTGAGTACTGGCGCAGTGCAGAGTATGGTGCTGGCTACTCCTGTGACTCAGATCTGTATGGCTGGTACCGATTCACAGGCCAGGGTGGCGTGACCATGGCTGAGACCTGTGTGCCGGTCCTGCGGTGCAACACGGCTGCACCCATGTGGCTCAATGGCTCTCATCCTTCGAGCAGAGAGGGCATTGTGAGCCGCACAGCCTGTGCACACTGGAGTGGTCACTGTTGTCTGTGGTCCACAGAGATCCAGGTGAAGGCCTGCCCAGGTGGCTACTATGTTTACAACCTGACTGCACCCCCAGAATGTAATCTGGCTTACTGCACAGGTGAGATGAGCAATGCCCTACATCCTTAGTCTGCAGGAGTCTTGAGGCACAAGCTGTTAACTGTATATGTCTTGGTAATATTGCAGATCCTAGCTCGGTGGAGGGGACTTGCGAAGAGTGTGGGGTGGACGAGGATTGCATATCAGATAATGGCAGATGGCGCTGCCAGTGTAAACAGGACTCCAAAATCACAGGTGAGACCCAGAGGGATATTTTTGAGAAAATGATCAGTGCTTAGGGGTAAGGCTTATGCTTGTGTGGGCCTGTGACTAAAGGACAAATATCCAGTCAGTGAGGAGAGAAGGTCACAAAACCCAGGTGTTTGGGGCTTCTCTTCAATTGGCTCCAAAGACTAGGGACTGGGGGACTGCCTCCTACCCAGTTCTTCCTCCTTCTTTTTTTTTTTTTTAATAATAACTTATTTATTTGTATTTTCTTTACATTGGTGTTTTGCCTGTATGTATGTTTGTGTGAGGGTGTCGGATGCCCTGGAACAGGAATTACAGAGACAGTTATGAGTTTCCATGTAGGTGCTGGGAATTGAACCTGGGTCTACTGGAAGAGTAGCCAGTGCTCTTAACCCCTGAGCCATCTCTCCAGCCCCCTAGGTCCTTCTTTCTGAGGACCCCCATACCATGGCAGACCCACCAGGTAACCAGAAGCTACGGAGCCACCTGCCACATCAGAAACTGACTGCAGCAGTTCTGTGGCCAGTGTGGGATGCTGGGTATGACACTGGTCCTCTCTCAACCTGTTTCCTCATGGTGTCATTGAAGATATCTAAATCTTTTCCAGACTTGAGTCATGTGTCGTGATTCTGTTTGTATCCAAGTACTATCTGTGTGGTGAATGTTATAATGAACACACTCTTCTCCAATTTGTTGGGGTTTCTTCCTTGAGTTTGATTCAGGGTGTGGGTGGCCATGCTGCATTTTCAAGGAACACCTCAAAAAAGTTAACAGCATAAAAGAAACAATGGAATGGAAGTCATTGTACTTCTATGGATGTATAGTGCTTCAGCAAAATACTTAACACTAAAAATGAAAAATTAAGAAAAAACTTCAAAAATTGTGTGTGTGTGTGTGTGTGTGTGTGTGTGTGTGTGTGTGTGTGTGTGTGATATGCGAGGAGGGGCTCAATGGGCTCAAGAGCCATGGCATATCTGTGAAATTGGAGGTTAATTTGTGGGAGTTGGTTCTAGTTTTCTACCATATAGGTCCTAGGGACTGAACTCAGGTAGTAAGGCTTGGCAGAAAACACCTTTGCCTGTTGAGCCACCCCACCAGCAGATAAAGGTGTTTGAAAAACTCCAAACTCTGAGCTGATCTTTGTCTACAAGGGAAACTAACCAGCATATATAATCAGAGTCACTGCCAGTGGGGGACTGGCACCTGTGTGTAGCAAGGATACCAAAGAATGGCAATCAACGCTTTCTTTTTTTTTCTTTCACCTGGGTTCAATGTTTAATGCTGGGCCAGCGAGAGGCCCTCAAACTACCTTAAATTCTGTATACAACCCACTCTTAGGGGAACATGGAACTGGATGGTTGGTGGTGTTCGTAATCATAGTCTGAGAAGAGACTGTGGTGAGCCCAAGGCATCTTAAGTGCCACCATGTGGTGGCCAGCCCAGCAACCATGCTGGGTCCCTGGGCACATGCCTGGCCAAGGAGGAATAGGCTCCTAATCCTGTTGTCCCTTCCCTTTTCAGATGTCTCCCTCCTGGAGCACAGGCTAGAGTGTGGGCCCAATGACATCAAGATGTCCCTCAGCAAATGCCAGCTGCAGAGTCTGGGCTTTATGAAGGTCTTCATGTACCTGAGTGACAGCCAGTGCTCAGGCTTCAGTGAGAAGGGTGAAAGAGACTGGATGTCTGTGGTGACCCCTGTCCAGGATGGCCCCTGTGGGACAGTGTTGAGGGTAAGTTCTTGCCTGTGGTGGCATCAGAGTTGAAGTGGTTTGTGCCTATTTAAGCCCTAAGTACACACCTTGTATGATCTTCCGGTGAGTTGTTTGACCCCTGACTAAATAACTTCAACATGGAGGGATTGTTCCTTCTCTGTAAGGATGTTAAGATTAAATCAATTCATGTGTCTGGTGTGAGCTTGATCTATAAGGATGGCCACCCATTCTAAAGATGGGAAAGGAAGAGCTAGGCTGACAGTGATAGCTTCTAACAAGTAAGGTTAGTACTGGGACCAGAAGCAAGTCTGTCTGTGTCTGGGGCTCCGGAGAAGAACCTCACACCCAGAGGCCTCTGTGGAGAGCAGCCATTACATGTTTGTATGGCTGGTATCGGCTTCCTCCTGCCCCCTTCATTGCTGAAAAGAAAATGGGGAGGGTCAAAAGGAAAGGAGAGAAGGAAGAAATTGCCATTGTCAAGGCCAATGTGAAATGAAATTAGTGATAGCTTGCATATGATTTTCAGTTTTGAAGAGGAAACCTGCATTTTTGAAACTAGTTTAGGTTTTGTGGGGAATCTATGCCACCATTCAGGTTTTATAGATCCCATGATCTGCATAGACAGACTCAGTTCTCAGGGAACCGTGAAGCTCTACCCCTTCATCCATGAAGCAGGGATTCAGCAGCCCTTGCCTCTTTAGGCCATTGGAAGTGTTGGTTGAATGATACAGGTGGAGAATGAAATGAAGCTCAGTTCCTGGAACATGACATCTGCCCCTAAAGTCACTGCTATTCTAACACAGAAACTGAGAAGGCAGCTTTCAGGAGTCTGTAGACAAACCCATTGGCTATAAAACCCTGCATAGGGTCTCATGTTCCTTTCTCCTACTTCTCTTCACCCAACACAGACAAATGAAACCCATGCCACCTACAGTAATACCCTCTACCTGGCAAAGGAGATCATCATCCGTGACGTCAACATCAGAATCAACTTTGAATGTTCTTACCCCCTGGACATGAAAGTCAGCCTGAAGACCTCCTTACAACCCATGGTTAGGTGTGGTCATCATTGACCTCCAGTGCTCCTGGGAGGCTTCACCCCTCAACCCCTCAGGCCCTCTGCCCCTCAGCCTCTCATCCCCTCAGCCCTTTAGCCCCTCGGCCATGAAATCTTCAGCTGTTCTGACAAGTGGGAACTGGATTTGGAGTCTGGGGAGCAGGATTGTTTAGTGGGGACACTTAGTAAAGAATCCCAGAACTCAGGTGATTCCAATCCAGGCCCTGCTATATATTAGCTGGATAGCTTTGGTGACCCTTAACAACTGTCCAACTCTTGCCCTCATTTGCCAAGGGGCAAATAATGCTTGCATAACCTTTCTAAAGACAATGATGTTCTGTAAAAGGGATTTTCAGAAGGATTGGGTGAACCTGCTTCTGGAGGGGACTCTGAGCAATCATAGCTTATATTAAGATCTCAGCTTCCATCCTTCTCTTAGTTAAAGATTTCTGGTTAAAGGGGCATTTACAGATCATGCTCTTTAGAGGTGCCTTGTTTGGGTGGGAAGGTAGCTAGAGAGGCAAACCAGGGAAGCTCCATCCATTTTGGTAAAAAATAGAATAAGCCCATTACTAAATAAAATTGAATGTCTTTGAGTATGATGAGTCACAGGCCACTGATGTTCATGAGGTGAGGGGAAAGACAAAAGTTGCAATCACTAGTGTTCATTGCTGTATGTCAAACATGATAAAATAATTCACAAGAGCCTAACAGTAGCCCCAAAAGATGCAAATTGAGGGAAGAGGTCTGGGCTGGTGTGTGTGTGTGTGTGTGTGTGTGTGTGTGTGTGTGTGTGTGTGTGTGTTGCTCATTTTGTGCTATTGGATGGAGACTTCTTGGCTAGGCAGTACCCTGTAATAATGTGACCATGTCCTAGGCCTGCCTTCGAGGTGCCAGAGCTTAAATCCACAGGGCTCCTGACAGCTCATCTGTTTTTACTTGAAGATTGAAACTCAAGAAACCCAAGCATGTCCCTTAAGAATGTCCCTACTTTGAAAGATGGTAGGAAGGGGACACCAGCAGTGCCCTGGACATGTGACTCAGGATACAGTCTATGGCTCTGTAACATTAGCACCATCAGGAGCTTGTTAGAGACGTAGATCCCTGAGTTCTACTGCAGACCTGCTCAGTCAGACAGGGCTTCTTCCCAATACCATCCAACACCCCATGCCTCCGAGTACTCATGGAAGGCTGCCAAGCAGTCAGTACTGAGGGGTCCAGTCCTGCTACTGAATGAAATGGCCAGATGCCTGCAGTATCTGAGCATGCTGATCAGAAAGGGTAGCCACCTGTGAGTGTTCACAACCTGGTCCTCTCATGGATCTTCTTCCTCTGCAGTGCCCTGAACATCAGCGTGGGTGGAACAGGCATGTTCACTGTGCGGATGGCACTGTTCCAGAGCCCTGCCTACACACAGCCCTACCAAGGCCCCTCTGTGATGCTGTCCACAGAGGCTTTTCTGTATGTGGGCACCATGCTGGATGGGGGTGACTTGTCCCAGTTTGTACTGCTAATGACCAACTGCTATGCCACACCCAGTAGCAACTCCACAGATCCTGTGAAATACTTCATTATCCAGGACAGGTAACAGTGGCTTCTACTTGGGGGCCATGGATGGGGTTTGGAGATACATCTTTAGAATTGATGGAGGAAAATACACTTTTATGTTCATGATCCTTTAGCTTAAATTTAGCATTCTAGCCTACCCTGAATACAGGGATCTACCTATGTTATCCAGTAGTTTTTAGATGCCATTTCATTAGAATCCTCCCTAGATCTTATTATATAACACGCTATTAAATGTATTTTTGCAAGTATATAAAGCACATACCAAATGTTTTAACATTTTTAAGATGTGTGCTTTATCTTGACCACTTTGTCTGTATTCCTTGAGATAGTGTATTTTTATACACTATAGCATTATATTTGAAGAGAGTTGCATATGTTTGCTGGAGGGCAAAGTGGGCATTCCTGGCTTAGAACATGTAAGAAATCTGATGGAAAGGCAGGCTTAGAGAGTAGGAAACCAGGGCCTGGCTAAGAAGAGTAGGGGATGGGCATAGTTAGCCAAGAGCAGTTGAAATGGGGAGGGTGCAGATGTGCTGTCTCTTCCTTAAAAGGACATAGATAAATTAACAGATACTTTGAAAGTTTGCTGTGTACCAGACTTTGTGGGTACCATGGTGAAGAGAAGAGATGAAATCTTTTACACTCATACAACTTAAATTCCAAGGCAAGGCAAAAATTAAATGAAAGTGAAATATGAATAGCATTAGTGAGGAAAAGCCTCTTGGACAAATGAAGTTGGGGGGGATTAGGCTTTGCAGTCCATGGTGCAGGGGGCCTTCCCAGAATGCCTTGCACACATGTGGGTGTCTTCTGCCTGTTGGTTTCTTTCTCTTAACAACTGCGTTTGGATGCCACTGTGTGCATGGCAAATGGGTGCACACACTTCGGTTGTCTCAGTGGCTGGCTGGACTGTGGCTTCTGCTGTTACAGGCACATTTTAGATAGCATAAAATAATTAATAATTCTTGAATATATATCCTTGGTAATGAGAATGAACTTCTGGATTGTTCCAACTCTGTGTTTGAAGAATTTTATAATTTTTCTTTAGCCCCAGACACAGACTGCACCTACTGTGTGTCTTATTCTATTCTAAGCAATTAGCATTCAGGCAGTGGTACCTATTGTGTGTCATACTCTGTCTTAAGTACTTAGCCTCAGACACAGGCTGTACCTACTGTGTGCCTCATTCTGTTCTAAGCACTTTGAAAAACTAAGTAAATCCTCACAATTGTCTTTTGACATTACTCCCATATGCATATGGAGAACTTGTACAGAGACATTTAATGAGCTTCCCAAAGTCACACAGCTAACAGGTGACAACATGGTATTTAAGCCCAGGAAATAGAGCTCCAGAGTCTTGGCTTCACCAACCCTAGTCATGTGTCTTAATGTTTCCCATTCAGATGTCCACACACAGAGGATACAACCATTCAAGTGATGGAGAATGGCGAGTCCCCTCAGGTCCGATTTTCTGTTCAAATGTTCCGGTTTGCAGGAAATTACGACCTTGTCTACTTGCACTGTGAGGTGTACCTGTGTGATGCTGTGAATGAACAGTGCAAACCTGTGAGTCACATCCCCACCACAACAGCCTGCTGGATTGCCTGTCTCTATCACCAAGACATTTGGTCAAAGCCATAAAGAAAGACGTGCATCTGGGTTGTTTTCCTATTTTAACACAGGGACACAGAGCTGCAAGACAGAGTGGGCAGGGCCAGTCAGGACACCTGGGCTACCCAGCAGTCAGGAAGTGGTGGTGATCTCAGGGGGCTTGGCTGATAAATTGGCCTTATTTGCAAACTGCAAGCTTATTTCCCAGTGGCAGGAACTTAAACATTCAGTGCTGTGTGCAACTCAGGTGTTTTAATGTATTCAAGCTTCACAGAAATTCCCTGGGGGGGGTAGTACCTCATTTTCTCAATTGGAAAAGCTCTGAGAAATTAAGTGACTTTCCCACAGTTACAGTAAGGGGTAGAGCTGGGATGCGCCCCCCTATCTCCAGTATGAGGCAGGATGATGCTCTTCTGAGCTGGCTGCCCATTTCTCATGCCAGGATCACATGCCAACTTTCTTCCTTTTCATCCATGAGTTATTTTCTGTGTCACTCTTTCCCTGCAGACCTGCTCTGGTACCAGAGTTAGGAGTGGGAACTTCATAGATCAGACCCGTGTCCTGAACTTGGGTCCCATCACACGGCAAGGTGAGAGATCTGTTCTTCTGTCATGGCCCTGAATAGGGAAAAGGCAAGGTGGCAGATCCTGGCTTCTTGGGTCTTACTGGGGACAGAAGGGTGAGGAAAAGTGGATTCTCTGTGGTAAGGTGGGCTATCAGCTGCCTTCCTCTTTTACCAGTTCTAGTGCGGTCATTAATTAATTAATTCATCCATTGCTGAGACATGCTTTACTGTGGTTTAGTATCTTGTGACAAGCAGAACAGATATCGCTGCCTTGGATCTTATAGATCCATAGGGGAAACATTCTCCAAATAGCATCCTATAGAAGTGTAGAACGGCAGTTGCCTTAAGTGTAGGAAGAAAGTGTACACAGAGTTTGAAGCTGTCCTGATAAGGGAACTGGATCCAACCTTGGTGATGGGGGAAGACTAAGGAGAAGCCAGCCTGTTAGGAGAACTGAGGGGAGCTAGTCAGTGGTGGTGGATAAACTGGTATCGGTGAGGCTAGCCCTATGGGGCTTTGTAGATCCCGATAGGTTTTAAGTCTTTCTTCTGAAAGACTATAAAGGTAAGGCTTTATAAAGATCCATTGCTTAGGAGTAGTATGACCAGATCTGGGCTTCAGAAAGATGACCGTAACTGCAAGAGAAGATTGAGGGAGCTCATCTCTGCTTCCTTGCTAGCCATGTGCCTTACTTCTCACGGATCTTTCTGTTTCTCTCAAAGCTATCCAGGCCTCTGTGTCCAAGGCTGCTTCCAGCAACTTGAGTAAGTTAAGGTCCTTTCTGCATAGTTACCTGCTTCATGACAGTCCTCCGTGGCTTCTATCTGGGGGTCTTAGTGGGCTGGAAGGCATAGCCTTCAGAACCTGAGCTGCCAAGCGGTGATTTGCCTTAGAAATGCCTGGACCTTGACTGTACTCATGCACACATTGTGCTGTCTCATAGTAGTGTATAGGAACACAGATGTGACCCAACAACCTGAGAGAATGTAGTATCCAGGTATGTTTGCACACAAGTTCATATCTGTACACAGATACCACACACATTTATATCTGTATACATACTTTTACATATCTGCATACACACAGATCACAACATTCCTATCTGCATACACATACTCATATGTGCATAGGGATCATACACGTGTCTGTACATAAACCACAGACACTCATATACACACAGATCACACACATTCATATCTGCACATACATTCATGGGCATACAGACCATACATACTCACATTTGCACATAGATCACCCACTTTAATACCTACACACAGGTCATACACACTCATATCTGTATACAGACTGTATATACTCATACCTGCAACATATCACAATACTCATATGTGCATGCAGATCATAAATGTTCATATATACACATGCTCATCACACACACATTTGTATCTGCACACACAGATCACATGTGTTTATGTCCTTATACCCAGATATACACATAGCTGCAGTTGTCTTCATGCATGTTAGCTGCTCAGATACCCACATATATTTATTACAAACTTACTCCCCAAGGACATGCACACCTGTCCTTTCCTTGGCACTTCCTGAAGCTGAGGCTCATCTCTAACACCTTCAGGAGCTGCTCCACAGGTCACAAATATTTGTTGAGGGACATTATTTGCCAAGAACCAAGCTTAGTAGTGCATTGAGCATACCTGACAAACAAGAAACTTTTTTTTTTGCTTCTTTAAGCCTCAAACCACAAAAGCCAGGAACTGGTGAATGACATTTTTGTAGCCTTTTTCTTATGCCTGCTGCAATATTTGACACTCTAGATGAAAACTGAATCCACACAGCCATTGCTTTTCTTGGCTTGTGGAACCCAGGCCTAAGAGGACTGCTACAATGACCTGGTGTTTGGCATGAGTTCTGGACCACTGAGCTGAAAAGTCAGGGTTCTCCCATGATATAGGCATGTCCTCTGTGACTAGCCTCCAGGTCTCTAGGATGGCTGTGTGTGTTAGGTATTGCATGAGCGTGCACACCAAGTACTTCAGGAGACACTGCTGTCTTTTCCAGACTAGTCTGCATGGAATGGAGCCTTTGTCCACCTCCCCACTCGGTGTAGACATCATTTTTTTTTTAACTTCCTCATCCAGACAGGGTGCCTTTCTTCTTGGCTAGTCTGTAGGAACTATGTTATTTTACACAAAAATATACCAGCACCTGCCATATCCCAATAATTGTTTTCCTTTTAGGACTCCTGAGCATCTGGCTGCCTCTGTTTCTCTCAGCCACTTTGACCCTGATGTTTCACTGATGGACAGAGGGAAACCTGGTGTGGTTCCTAGCTCACTTCCTGCGGGCCAGGAGGGGAGATGCACACTGGTTTCCCGCCATAGGAGAGGGAGCTCACACTGCCTCCAGCTTGCACTTACTCTCCCTCTTTAATCCTCACTATCAAAACCAAGTTGACAACTTTCAATGCTGCTTTCTCTCCAATCGAGACTTGTGATGGATCAGTACATGAAGCCCCATCTCCTCAAATAATAATGATAATAATAATAAAGTTTAAAGCATCAGCTTTTGGAATCATTAATTCAAATATTTACTGAGTACACAACCACTATGAGTACTGTCTGTTGTACTGAGAACCACATAGTGGGAATAAAATAGGCCCTTTCCCTATCTTTATGGACTTCATAGTTGCTCCAAGAAACTGTGAACAAGTGTTCTGCTGTGCTACTTTAGATAAGGCACACAATGTGTCTGAACATCACCTGTCTATCCATTCATATAGACATCCATCCTTTCATTCAGTAAACATTTGCTGAGCTGTTACTATGCCAGTTACTAAGCTATGCCAGGGATATAAGAGCAAACATGGGCAGTGAGCAAAGCAGGCACAAGCTATGGCTCAGAGCCTGAATATGCAATTCAAAGGCTTCCAGGGACTCCAGAAATGGGGAGTTTAGCTGACAACAGGAGGTGGCTGATGATTTGCAATGGGGGCAGCCATGATGCCCTCACAGGGCACACTTTGTTTTCTACAAATAGACTTGGAAGACCTCAGATGTTCTAGGCCTACAATGGGAACTAAGAAACATTGGCAAGTGATACAGAGCCAGTCTCTGCCTTCAGGAATCTCCGGTCTTACAGAAGAGAAGTAGAAGCAATGACAGGTGTCTTGGGCCTCCTTAGGACTCCTGCTCACTAGGCTTCTACTTGCCAACCCTAAAGTTGTAGATCTTTTCACGGGCCTCAGCAATAGAGGGAAGCACACCCACCCCTTTCCATTGCTTAACAACCTTTGTGGGGCTTCATACATGGACAGGAATCAGATCTTCTCTGTGCTCAGACACCCAGAGATCCAAAAGGTCTCTAGGAAAAAAAAAAATGTCACCAATACTGATGGGAACTCTGTTCTCTGACTCACCTGGTTCTCTGGCCTCCCACTGAGACTTTCCAGAGGAGGTCAAGGTCTCACATCAGGGAAAGCCACATGTGTGGGATTGAAGCAAGGGCTGCAGGGACAGTGTGTCTTATGTTAAGAGCTCTTATCACATGTAGAACAGGGAGGCCTCTTGCTGTTACATAAGAACTGTGCATGTGGCCTACAGGCTAGTCTAGCACTATCCCAACCACAGCTAGTCTATGGTCTGCTTAGGCCTAGTAACTTCTGTGTTGTGACTTAGGAGCTGCAGAACTTGAAGGGAAGGTCTGGCCAAGGAAACAAGAGCAGAAGCTAAAGACAAAGGCTAGGTAAGGGGCAGAGAAGAAATGTCACAGTGACAAATTTGCCCCTTTCTTGTCTTTTCCTTTCTTGCTTCCTGTCTGCTCCTTACACAGCTTAATGTACCCCCTAGCTATTGATGCATTAATAACAATTAGATGCCAAATTAAGTGCTAGACACTTTTATGATAATGAGGAAATAGTAAATTATCAAAACAGAGCCATTTTGGTAAGGATGATACCTTGAAATAATAACCATGAAATGTGGCAAATGGTGGCAACCACTGGGGAGGGGGGAAAAGTCAAGGACAGCATGAGTGTAACAGGAGTGTTGTTTCACAAAGAATGACAGGGTAGTCTCTCTGATAAGCAGAGACTGGGAGAGTAGAGGAGTGAACCAGCCTGTTGAGAACAGCTGGGACAGCTGGAGAGGAATGTCATGGGTAGCTGAAATAGTAAGTGCAGAGGTCCTGAGCCAGAAACTTGTGCCTTTCCATCAAGGCTGACTGATACCCGGACACTGGACACATGACTCACTAGAGACAGCCTACAGTATACAATTGCTTTTGTCCATTTGTGTGTTAAGCAAATACTTTCTCAGTGAAGATCAAAATCCCTGCCCTCAAAGCACCTACTAGACTTCACAGACAGACTAGTTACCAGGCAAGTGAATGTGATCTGAGTTGTCCTAGAGAGACATGAGAACAGAGCAGAGGACCACACAGGGTATGGAGTTAGGAAAGTCTTCCTGGCAGAGGTGATAAATAGGAAAAGGCTGAACATAGAGCAATCTAGGTGGGGGAGAGATTATGCAAGCATTTGAGGATGAGGAAGAGTTCAGAGAATCTGGCATTGGCTGAAGCAGGGCTGGTACAGTGAAGAGTAAAAGTAGGAAGTCTGAACAGGGTCAGGCCCCCGGGGCATGGATAACACAGGCTCCAGAGAAAGCAGCAGAAACAATGGAGGCAAGAATGAAAGCACAAGAGACCAGTCCATAACCAACACTAAAATCACCCTGGCAAGATGGTGACCTAAATTTGCATTGGTGAAGTGAAAATGAAGAAGAGTGGATAGAGTCACGAGGCATTTGAAATGCAAAAGGATAGGATGTGGAGCTTCCTGGAACTGAATCCCGAGGAGGAAAGGAAACAGTCAAGTCTCCAGCTTGGAAGACTGGTGAGCAGCACTGCCATGGGCCAAGGTGTGGGGGGGGCAGTCAGGGGAGCTGGTGAGCTCAGATGGAAGCTGCTCAGTTTGAGGGACCTCAGGTTTCTGTATCCAGGAGGAGAAGCACAGAAGGATCTGGGGACTGGATGTGATGCTAAGGAGAGTCATCCAAGCTGGGACTTAGCCTGTGGGTGAATTTGAAATTGTGCTATAGTTTGAATCTGACATGGTCTTCACAGTCCCTTCTTTCCAGTGTTTGTTCCCCAGCTGGTGGTGCTGTATGGAACACTGTGGATGCCTTCTAAGAAGTGGGGTGCAGTTGGCAGAAGTCCATCACTGAGGGAAGACCTTTCAAGGCCAGGTCTGAGCTCAGTTCTTGTTTTACTCTCTACTTCCTGGTCCTTCATGATGTGAATAGCCTTTGCCACATGCTCTCAACTGCCATGGATGAAACCATATTATATTCCATGGACTCAAGTTCTCTGTTCCAGTTGGTTTTATGTCAATTTGGTACAGGCTAGTGCTATCAGGCAAGAGCAACTTCAATTGAGAAAATGCTTTTGAGTTGCTGGAGAGATGCTCAATGGTTAAGAGAAAATGCTTGTGTAATATTTGCTGGGAGAGGGTGAGTCCATTGTGTTTAAGAGTATAGTCCCTGGTAAGTCAACTACATCTAAGGGGATGCCCACATATCCAAGAATATTTGGGCAGTATAAATTGGCCTCAGAGGAAAAAGTAGACATTGAGTAGGGGACAGTGGAGTTACACCTTGGAAGACTTGGGAAAGGGGCTGAATATGACCAAACTTTTAAAGCCTTTTTCACAGTTCTGTGCCTTCTAATGCCTAGCTTAGCCCACTTATTTTAAGGACTTGGAGGGGAGGCTATACCAATGCTGACTTTGTCCAAAAGCCTTGAACATCTCTTTGCATTCTACATTTTACCATTTCTAAATATGTCATTGGAAATTGGGCAAACTTTGCTAGTTAAGAACAGTAAGTTCTCAAACTCCCTTCCTTCATTCTGTCATGCTCCCTGGCACCAGGTGAATCAAGAGGAAGTGCTCTAATGCAATTAGCTAGGAACAGACATTACATGGGACACCTACTGAGCAAACAAGCCTATTTGGTTTCTGTCTACTTTCCTTTGGGCATTTTTGCTTCCTTTTCATTAGTGTTTGCTCTGTGGGAATGAACATGGCATTGGCTTTATGAGTTTATTGGAAGATTAGATGGAAGAAAGAATGACCACAAGGTATTGGCAATGTCTGGTGTAGTCAACCCTAAGTACATATTGCAGTTGCTTACAGAGAAACATTCATGTGGAATTGCACCTTCTGGAAGAGTTTCCATGCAGGTGGCATAAAAGCCCTTCTTTCACTACCCTTTACGGTAAATGGCTTATCTTACCTACGTCTGACAGGCCCTAGTGCCTAGGAACTTAGTGCCAGTCCTACCTCAGCACCAATCATAAAGAACCACATGAGTGGGGAGTGTCAGTATAAATGAAGCAGACAGGAGGTTATGTTCCCACGCTGGGCAGAGGAGGAAGGAGGCTCTGGGTTCTTTCCTTTTCGGTAAGTCCTGCTCCAAGGCCTAGTGAGCTTTCTCCTCACCTATAGGTGAGTTTCACCCTCTTTACCTACTGAACTTGCTTTCTGAACCCAGAAGTGACTCTGGACCTTAACTATTGTCAAATGTCCCAGATCACTCAACTCATGGTCCCAGTTACCTGCTGACTCTGATCAGCTTATATATGACATCCTGTCGCTTTCCACTAAGACACAGGGTTGGCACCTCTCATGGCCTCTGTCCCTGCTCTGTCATGGACTCATGATACCCTATCAGAAACATGTTTCTGGCTCCAATTTGTGTCTTCTAGAGGCTACATGAAATCACCTAGAGGTCACTTTTCCAGGAACAGAAGGGTAAATGTCACCTGAAGTCAACAGACATTTTGTCTATTATTTATTTGCTTTCTTGCTTTGAATTTTCATTCATTAGTTATCCAGTTGTATAATTTTTTTTTTACTGGGAGCCACTGTGTATCATCTTCTGCACTGGGAGAAAGGGGCTTAGAATTTAGTCTGACATAGTACTATGCTTGTGAAATCCTGTAGGACTTGATAAATACAATCAAGACAGTGCACTCGTCTATTATAGGTACCAACAGGTATTAAAATCCTTGCCTAATTACTAGCGAGAGCCTACCTCCACCTGCACAGGGACTTTCCAAACACCGCTCTAGGACATCCTGCAGCACACACCCACCTTTGGCTTGCTTGGAAATCCCCTAACCCTATCCCTCTCCATTTCTGCACATCATGCCAGCAGTTCTGGTTCTGATGTCTGTGCACTGCCCACAGCTGCACAGAGAAGCAGCTGTGTAGACATTGTTTGGATTAACATCCTCTCCAAACTAAACTTCAGCCACAAAATAGGAACCAGAACAGTACCTTTCTGTGGAGTTCAGTACTCTTGAAACAAAACTTCTTCACCACAAAATAGGAACCATGACATCACTTTCCTGTGGAGTGATTCAGAGACTTAAGTGAGGCAAACCATGTAAGGGGTTTCAAGAAAATTTAGTCACCTGATAGGTGCTGAACTGAATTTCAACCTCACCCCCAGGCACAGAGGTCTGTAGGCCTGATCTGATGTGAGCCTTTCCTTTTCTGTAGTTGCATGGAGAGTCTGCAGGCTGCAGTGTGACCTGCAACCCTCGCTATATGAAAAAGATGGTGGGCCGTGACCTGCTGTGGCTGGCTGTGGCCTCCTGCATTCTGATATTGGCATCTCCATCTACAATACAGCAAGGTGAGTGTCTGCTGACCAGGGATCCCAGATACTCAGCAACACTTAGGAAATGTGAACAGAGCGGGGAGCAGAAAAGGCCATCTCAGGTTGGGAGCAATGGCTCAGCTAGAGAGAACAAAGAAAGCTTCAATCTCTCAGCGTGATCAGAGAGCACAGACTAGAAGAAAAGGTAGGTCACTCTGTCACCTCCTTTCTCCTTTCTCTATCAAGTTGTCCATCTGTAAAAATGAAGGTGTTAGATTTAACAATATTCTTGTCTTCCAAAGATCCCAGCATGTGTGTGTGTGCGTGTTGTCTCTCCATCCTCCTACCTTAGCCTCCAGGATGCTGGGATTAAAAAGCACGTATTACCACACCTAGTTCCTAAAATTGGTGAAGGGGAGCAACCCAGACACTTGCAGAAAAGTTCCCAGATTAGAGTGCAAATGTGAGCCCTATAGTGGGAAGTTAGGAAGAAAGCTGAGCTCTGAGCTCTTACTCCTGTGGGAAAGCACAGGATGCTCGGGAAATGATCCAAGAATAACAAGGACCATAATTCCTCTCCTAAGAGCAAACACATGCATGATCAAGACTGGCAAATGGCTTTTTTCTTCATTTTTAAAGTCTCACTGGTATGTATAAGACTGTGAGTCCAAAGGTGTGCTTAGTTCATTATTCTAGAGGTAACTGGCTGGATCTAGGTGTGGAGTGTGGTATCATACAGTAACCATCTCATTTGATCTTTAAGACTTTATCTCCCAAATGAAGCACACCTACCCAAAATGACCCTGGCTGCCTGGAAAGCTCTTCAAAAAAATGTTAATGGTTGCATGTTTACTTTATGAATATTAAATAATATAACAATACAACCATCCCTACATTTGTACGTTATCATAGATATTATTCCTCTAGGGTAAAACTTATCTATATATTTATAATTGTATGCATGTACTTATGTGTGTGTGTGTGTGTGTGTGTACACATGCATGGGCACACATGCATGTGCACAGATGAACCCAGAGAACCACCTTAGAGATGCCATCTACTCTGCTTTTTAAGACAGGATTTCTCATTCCTGCCAGAGCTTAGGTTGACTGGTTGGTGAGCACTGAAGGACCTGCCTATTCCCACTTCACAACACTGGGATTAGAAAGCTCATGCCACTGTGCCCAGCTTTTTATAGTGAGTTCTCTGTGATCGAACTCAAATCTTCATGCTTACAAGGTGCTGTACTAACTGAGCTATCTCTTCAGTACCCATGAAATTAGTTTTCAAAGAGAATCACTGAAAATAGTCTCTATAAGTCAATCATGGGAACAAGAACACAGGTGTACAAATGGCAGGACCTGAGGCATGGGAAGGGAGTTTGGAAACCTTGAGCTCTTGGGGGTGGTTTTGCATATGAGTCTCAGGAGAGCTTAACCACTTTTCAAGGCCAGCAAGTGAGAACTGTGTTTAAATCCCATCTTCCAGCCCCTGATCATCCCCTTCCTCATTTCTCTGCCTCTTCATACATCATAGCTCACTGCTCACCCCAAAAAGAAAACTCAGCAACAAAAATGATCCTGTTAGATGAGTAGTTTTCAGTGGGGGAGATTTCGGCATCAGGGATTACGCAGTCTTCAGAAGCAGGTACTGGCAATGGGCAGGTAAAGGCCAAAGGGTCTCTGATTCCATTTTGAAGGCAGCAATACAATAATTAACAATGCAGCCAATGATGTAGCAATGACTCGAAGCTTGTGAGTGATTGACATGACTGATCTGTGGATGCTGACCTGTGCTGTTACCTACTGACAGGGAACAATATGGATTTTATAATAAGTTCAAGATTGCAACCAATGTTTTTTTTTCATATTTCACCAAAAAAGCAACTTTTCTTTTTATTTCCTTGATCTATCAATGGCGACATCAATACAGCCTGAAGTTCTCATAATTGCTTATCTGTCCTTTGTATGCAATGTCATGAATGTATTAGATCTTAACAAATTGTAAGAAATGATTCTCCTACCATCCCAATATAGGCCCTGGTTTCTTTTCCTGTTTCCCAAACTCCATTCTCGCAACCAATGTTTTAAAATCTCTCTCTCTCTCTCTCTCTCTCTCTCTCTCTCTCTCTCTCTGTCTCTGTCTCTGTCTCTCTATCGCGGTAAATAATGATCAGGATAAACAAATAGGCCGAATAGATGTTTATTCAGGGAGAAATAACTTACAACCTAGACAGATGAACACCAGGAAATTCAACCCGATCCTCTCCTGTCCAAGTCATGCCAGAAAGAGAGCGCCTTTCCTGGCCCCCTCCGACCTCCTTCCACAGGTCACTCCGCCCATGGCTCCACCCCCAATGGGCGTGTCAGTGCCACAGAACTATCTCCCTACATCTCTCTGTCTCTCTGTCTCTCTCTTTGTGTGTGTGTGTGTGTGTGTGTGTGTGTGTGTGTGTGTGTGTGTGTATGTGTGTGTGTATGTCTGCACATGCATGGGAATTTTCCAAGGGCTATACAACAAATTTGTGCTTCTAGAGATGGGTCTATCTTAGGACAACTTTCATTTTAAGATATATTTTGCCAAATTAAGCAATGTGACAGTATTTATTTCTGCTTAATTCACTTTACTAATGTCTGAGGATATTCTCAGGGATCCTGTATTAAATTTATGAGAAAAACAAACTGATAAGTGGGATACACGGTATCCTGCTAGGGCTAGGAGAAACTATCTGAAACCCTGGGTGGGGTTAAAATACCATGAAAGATTCTCACTGACCATTCTGCTCCCTAAGTGACAAGTCTGCCATTCATTGCTGCCATGTGCACCTATTGGCCTCATTGGGATGTCAGGATGTTCAAAGCAGAATAGAGAAGGGATTAAAAACCTGAGGGCTATGAAGTTGCTCCATAAACCCACATGCTCTCTGTTCTTCCCAGGTTATGGAAGCCTCAGAAACAGCAGCTTTGATGGGCCAGACTTGGACTGTGGAGCCCCTGGCACTCCAGAAGCTGATATCTGCTTTGACCCCTGCCAGAATTACACCATTCTGGATGATCCCTCCAGAAGCACAGAGAACACAGTAGAAGCAGATGAGTGTGACGATCACCTGCGAGGCTGGTACCGCTTTGTGGGTGAAGGAGGAGTGAAGATGCCAGAAACCTGTGTGCATATATACCGGTGCCATACCTCTGCTCCCATGTGGCTAAATGGGTCTCACCCCTCCTTGGTAGATGGCATTGTCAGCCGCACAGCCTGTGCCAACTGGAATGAAAATTGCTGCTTCTGGGATTCTGAGGTCCAGGTGAAGGCCTGCTCAGAAGAATCAGGAAGCTATTACGTGTACAGGTTACAGGGTACCCCTGAATGCAGTCTGAGATATTGCACAGGTGAGCGGCAGCTGCAGGGTGGTGTGATCTTTAGTGTCCAGGACTCAGTGGAGCCTGTGGAGGTGGTCAAGAGGACACTGAGCAAAGCAGCCACCACTGGGACCCTGTCAGAAATACACATGGAAACGTCATTTAGGATCTGCCAGGCACCAGCTAGAAATTCACATTTGAATGCAAGATAGCCCAAATTATAAGTGGTATTTAGAAGGCTCAGTAGCTAAGAAGTTCTTGTTGTGCAAGTATGGGGACAATTCCCAGCACCCATGTAAAAAGCTGAAGGCAGCCAAGCATGCCTGTTACCCCAAGGCTGTGGGGATCAGAGACAGGAGGCTGAGACTTGCTAGCTGCCAGTCTAGACCCAGGTTCAATGAGAGGCTCGCTCTTAAGGGAACAGGGGAAGAGTGGCTTAGCAGGACAGCTGATGCCCTCCTCTGGCCTCTGTGTATAGGTGAGAGCACGCACACACACACACACACACACACACACACACACACACACACACACACACACACACAAATGATATCAAGAACCCAGACTCATTCAAAATTTATTTTGTCAAAGTTACTCCTTTTAGAACCTGTTTTCTGATGTGAAACAAAAGGGCAAAATAAACAGCTCACATTGCTCACAGTGTACCTGTTACCATTCTGCTTTAAACCTATTGATGCAATGAATCTCCCTGTTTAATCCATGACATGGGGTCTATGTAGTCCTTTAAATTAGTATCTAGAGAACAGAAAGGCCCAGCAGCTCTCCCTGTATCACAGAGTTGGAATGCAGAAGAGCCAGGATTTAAACCCGGGTCCTATAATCCTGGTAACTGTGGACTTAAAATCATTGGCCTGGCAACTTCAGAGATGTTACTCCCTCTTCTGGATTTGGGAATCAGGAAATACGATTCAGAGGGTTGGCTTTTCTGGCAAGCATCTCATTTTATAAAGACTGGAGGAATGAGATAGTCAGCTTGGGAGGACTCAGATTCACTGTGGTCTGCATCCTGATCCTCTTCCTCTGTCTCTTCCCTCTAGAGCCCTCTGCTAATTGTGAGATCACTTGCCGACCTGAGGAGGAGTGTGTGCTCCAAGATGGCAACTGGGCCTGTGTCTGTAGTCAGAGCCTCAATGTTTCTGGTGAGCAGCTCCTGGGACTGAGTAGGCAAGGCAAGAGGAATGAGACTTAAGAGGGTCAGGATAAGGCAGGGACCAGAGTCAGGAACCATGAAACTTACATTGGGGAAATCCTGAGATTTATTTGGACCACTTGTTATTAAGCCAGTGGGGTTTGCAAGGGTGTGAGAGGGTGGGTCCAGACAAAACTTTCAGGTCAGCTGCTGGAACACTGTATCAACAGGTGGCTCTGGCACGGGCATTTGGCTTTGGTCTAGTGGAGAATACAGGACCACTTTGGTTTCCCAAGAGCAGTTAATCCAAACCTGTACCCAAGACACTTGGAAGTCTTCAATCAGAGACCTCTATCAGCCTGAGTGTGACTTCTGTTGGGGTCTCAGACCCAATCTAGTCTATTCTGCAACTTGATGGGCATGGTGGATTTGCCAAAAGACAGAGAGTGCAGATACTCTACATTGTTTCCTGTCCTCTGTCCATTCCACTGACCCCACTATTGGCCTCCTAGATATTCAGAGTTTGCAGCCTGAGCTGGACTGTGGCCCTGATGAGATCAAGGTGAAGCTGGACAAGTGTTTGCTGGGAGGTCTGGGTTTCAAGGAGGAGATTGTTGCTTACCTGAATGACCGGAACTGCAGCAGAATCATGCAAAATGAGCCCAACAACTGGGTGTCCATTACCAGCCCTGTTGTGGCTAGTGACTGTGGGAACATTCTGGAGGTAGGTGGCATTCACACCACTGCTACTAGAGTGTGGTATTTGGGCTAGTGGGAGCATCTTCATAGATGTGAGACTTTAGGCAAATGTCATATCCTCTTTGGGCCTCCAGGGTTATGTGAATTTACACATGCAGGTCCATGTTAAAGAGCTAAGACTGGGCTAACACTTGAGCTTCATAAAGTCAGCTCTGATTGTGATGATCTTAATTAGGGGTGGTATGGGAAGAGCAAGCATGTCAGCCTCTGACTCTTCCCTAGGATTAAGCATTCATTTTTTTAGTGTTTACCCTAGGCTTCCCTGGGGGTCAGAATTCAGGGTGGCTGCATGGCTGGGAACACTGACTATAGAATTAGACAGATCTGAGTTTGATATACACCTACACACATCTACATAAACACATATGGTTTCTTTTTTATACCAAAGAACAATGGGACCCATGCCATCTACAGAAACACCCTCTCCTTGGCCACTGATTTCATTATCAGAGACTTCCTCGTCAATATCAACTTCCAGTGCTCCTACCCACTGGACATGAAGACCAGCCTCCAAACTGCACTGCACCCTATTGTAAGGTATGATCATACACACAACCTATGATGCCCACACAGTGCTACCACCCCACTTGAGGAGCTTCCACTCACCAAATTTCTGTATTGTAGCTAAGAACATTCAGAATGACCAAGGCACTTGTGAACAGTAAAGATTTTTACTAGGAAGTAACGCTGCACCATGAATCAGTACTTAAAAAGTGATCAGGAAACAAAACTTCAGACCAGTTCATTCATCTTGAGGAGAAAGGCAGCAAACAACTAATCATATCAACAGTCATAATTGATAATCATTTGCAAATCAGACAATGTGGTGCAGGAGAAACATGGAGTGCTTTGGGTCAGTGGATATGGGTCCTAGACCTGATCATTGTGGGATAGAAATTGAAAGGGAGCAAGGAGACTTTCCAACAGGCTTGAGATTTAAGCCAAATCTACCTTTGAAGAAATAGCACCTACACTCATGCAAAATAAAATGAAACAACAGAGCTGGGCAGTGGTGGCGCACACCTTTAATCCCAGTACTCAAGAGGCAGAGGCAGGCAGATCTCTGTGAGTTTGAGGCCAACCTGGTCTGCAGAGTGAGTTCCAGGACAGCCAGGGCTGTTACACAGAGAAACCCTGTCTGGGGGTGGGGTGGAGAAAGAAACAGCAGTTTGGTTGTTATTTGATCCAGCTAAGACTTTTGTTTGCATTTTCTTTATCACTGCACCTTTGTTCCTGGAATGAGGCTTATTGAACTAGGTGTTGTACAGCTCTATAATTGCCAAGGGATTTTTCTGAACTGTCATCCAGAAATTAAGGGTGCCTGTCCCAGCCCCTAATTGCTTCCTGGGCTCACAGAATTGCAGGATAAGGATTTAAAAAGTCAAAGTTCAGAGGTTTGCAGGTTACATCAGTTGGAACCCATGTTCATAAATATAAAAATGAAAGTCATTTATCTTGTTCAAACTCATTCAGCTGAAGATTGTGGGGTGGAGGGGAGAGACATAAAGCTAAAAATTGTGAGCCTGTTAAGAGATGATCCCAAGCCCCGTTGCCTAGGTTACAAGATGGTGCTGTGTCCTAACCTGAGTTCCTTGAGTAGGAGCTTGATGTAGCTGCCACATAGTGGGGATGGGTGCTAATTCTGGACACAGACTTGCCTGCCTGTCAAGTTCAGGATTTAGATCCAATAAGTGATTTGTTTCAATGGATTATCAACTCGTTCATTTAGAGGTCAGAGATGCATCTCTCCCCACCCCCATAACTTTATACTAGTGTAGGACTTGATTTACTTGCTTTTTTTTTTTTTTCTGGTCAGAGCCTGATGTTTCCACTCTTGTGGCTTCCCTGTTTCAGTTCCTTGAATATTGATGTGGATGGGGCAGGAGAATTCACTGTCAGGATGGCCCTCTTCCAAGACCAGAGCTACACACAGCCGTATGAAGGGGCCAACTTGGTGCTTCCAGTGGAGTCTATGCTCTATGTGGGGGCCATCTTGGAGAGAGGAGACACCTCCAGCTTCAAGCTGTTGCTGAGGAATTGCTATGCCACCCCCACAGAAGACAGGAATGACCCTGTGAAGTATTTCATCATCAGAGACAGGTATCAGGATTAGTTGCTTTTGTTTGCTTGTTTTGTTTTATTTTGTTTTACCATAGCTAAGTTTTGGGTAAAAATGTTATCTCATCTATTGCTGACAGAGGTGTAAATTGGTTCACTTCATTTGGAAATAATTTGCCATTACATATTATAAGCATTACATATTGATCTTGGAATGTTATTTCTGATATTTTGGCCTAAAATATTAAAACAAACTGGATGAATAGATTACAGAAATGCAAATCATTTTTTCATTTCAGTATTATTGATAACTTTTTATTAAGTTTACTGTTAAAATATAGCTCAATTGAGTAATAATGGACCATTATATAGATGTTTACATTGATTAAAGTGAACATATTAAAAATAGCATAGGACAAGATATTGTATGTCATTTAATGATAAGACAAAGGAATGTCTACCTGGAGGTCACAGTTCAAATATTAATGGTGCTTGTTAATATTCATCCTTGAGCTCAACTGTGTGTCAAGCTCTGTAATGAGAAAATGTATACAGTGGCCTCACTAAGTGCTCTTATCAATTGTATGAAGTTACACCTTGGCCCTTTTCATTCTCCTAGCTGCCCAAATAAACGTGATTCCACCATCCATGTGGAGGAGAATGGGATGTCCCCAGAAAGCCGATTCTCAGTACAGATGTTCATGTTTGCTGGAAATTATGACCTAGTTTTCCTGCATTGTGAGGTTTACCTGTGTGACTCCACTAAGGAAGAGTGTGAACCAGTGAGTGTTTCTTTGGACTGGTCCCCAGTTGACTCTCCACATACATTTATTGGGTTTACAGAAAGAGGTGCGGGTGGAAAAAAGGATGGATAAATGCATAAATGGAGGGTAGAGGGAGAGAAGAAGAGAGATGAGGAAGAAAGTTGGATGGATGTATGGATGGATGAATGGATACTTGAAAATGTGGAAAGAAAGAAGGGTGAATGGCTGGATATAAGGAAGAGAGTAAAAATGAAAGATGGACAGAAAGACTTTGAGCATCCTCAATTGTCCATTTATGAGTAATTGTTGTCTCTTCACAAGGCAGATCAGCTTTCCTAGGAATAACATCTATTATGAATATTATGATATTACATGTTGAGCATTATTGATTCAAACATTTCAAATCCAAACTGTTCCAATGTCTTAAATTTTTGGAGGGACAAGACTTAAAGCTCAAAATTTTTCAGACTTTGGAAAAAGTTGGGTTTCAGATTCTCAGATTATAAATGACTAATCTTTAAAGACTGTAAATGTTCCAAAATATGAGAAACTCCCAAATGCTAAATAGGTCCGGACCTCAGGATTTCAATGAGGGCAGAATGTGATCCGGTGGTAAGGGCTTTTCAGTCATTTCTCTGTGTCGGGCTCTGCACCAGAGCTCCCACATTTTTCTACTTGAGCTCCCACGATGACTATTTAACCAAGCTTCACTATGCAGTTGAAGAAACTGAAGCCCAGAAAAGTCCCTAACACACAGCCACACCGGACTAGAGCATCAAAATTGGGATGTTCCGCATCTGAGCTGTGACTCAGATGCAGGTACTTTTACTCCTAATGGATACTGTTTGAATGGCTTATATTCCTCAGGTGCTTACAATGTGTCTATATGTTGCTATTACACTTCATTTTAATGTTTAAAACCAGGTGGGCAAGGCTGGGGAGATCTGAATGGTAAAGTGATTGCTATTTAAACCAAAGAATCTGAGTTTGGAACCCAGACCCAAATGTAAACAAGGATGGTAGCTTGTGTCTGTAATCTAAGTGCTGGGAGGGTAGAGACAGAAGGATTCTGGGGTCTCACTAAATCACCAGCCTAACCAAAAGGACAAGCTCTAGATTCACTGAGAGAACTTGTACCAAAAAATAAGATGACAGCAGTACAGGAAGACACTTGATGTCAATCTTTGGCTTCCACACATGCTTGCATACAGAATGAATGAATGAATGGCTAAATAAAACCAGATATGAATTATTTGATCACAGATAGATAGACATTTATTCCAATTATACAATAGAGGATAGAGATGAGAGTCAAACCAGGTATGTTAAGTCATGACTGAATTCTCATGGTTGAAAGAAACCACAGCATCAAAGAGAGGGCATATGCTGGGATATCCAAGTGCTTAGATAACAGATCCACTGATGTTCATACCATGGCAACCTGAACATAGGGACCAGGTACTTACATTTTGATATAACAAGAGTTCTATGTCTCCACAGACTTGCCCTATAAATCAACTCCGCAGAAATGGACCAGGCATTAACTTGGCCCAGGTTCTAGATTTAGGACCCATTGCTAAGAAAGGTAAGAAAGTGGGTGAGTCCTGGTGCAGGAACAGATGTCTAAATGCTGATAATTAATTGTAGATGCTTGGGTTCACCAATGCTAGTCACCCTGGGTTTTTCTGCTCTCTCACTCCACCCACTATTGATGAATGTGTCTTTCTATGAGGTGGCCATCGTGGAATTTATGGTGGTGGCTATGTATTAGAAACCAGCTGTAACTCTTGCATTCATCAGTATAGTTAATCCTTCCATAACTGTACCCATTTAGTTGGTTAGAATTACCTGAGATTACTTGCTTATGAGTAGCTGGAGTTAGAAGGAACCCAGATGAGTCTGAATTTGCTGTTTTTCCCTGAAGCTTACATAGAGTCCTGTAACTCAGCCCCATTAGGGTAGATGTGCTTTCCAAAATTTAGGCACCATCCTCTGGAGATAGGATACATAAGAAGCTATGCAACTACTTTGTAACTCCTCTTTTATCCTACACAAGTATGTATAGTGCTGTCATGGTTTTTATTTCCACCTGAATGGAGGAGTCAAGAATCTCTCCTACCAAAAAAGAAAGAACTTTTTGCCTTGATGAAATTAAGATACAATGATGTTAATTCTCATTAAATAATAATATTTTTACCCGCACTGGGTGCTGAACACTTTCTATGTATCATCAGCTTGGCTGCTCGTGGCAACCTCAGGAGGTCAGCCTTGTTCCCTCTTCTACCTCTGGGATTAACAAGCTGAGCTGTCTCATGAAGAAGGTCTGCCTTGAGTGGTCCTGCCCTCTACTGACCTCTCAACTTAAAGCCTTGTGTGGTGTCACATGACAACTCAGGCTTGTGCAGTGTCTCCGGACGACTTGAAGAGGGGGAATGATGGGCATCCACAGTGGATACAAACACATAGTTTTGTTAGCGATCCATTGTTGGAACTAGATTGCTGAGGAAATGACTTCAAGGGAAAAGATCTATTAGGGATCATGATTGCAGAGGTCTTGGTCCATGGTGGCTTTCCTCCATGTCCTGGGCCTCTAGCCAGGCAGAATGTCACAGAGGAAGAATGAGGTAGAACAAAGCTGTTCAGTTCATTGCAACCATGAAGGGGAAAGAGAAATAAGGAGAAATGGGGTGAAGGGGGACACAGAGAGTGAGTCCATAAAGCTTTCACCTTCCCCCTTTAACCCATCAACACTTCCAGGCTAAAGAATAGTATATACACATTCAGGGAAGTCTTTTACGCCTTCAGTTGATCTTTGCAAAATCCTTCACAGACACACCCAGAACTGTACTTTGCCAGCTCCTAGGCACCTCTAGGTGCCATTTCTAGTTGACAATAGAAAGTAACCATCGTGCTGGAGTTGGAATCGCAGCTCCAATAGTGTCTAAAAAAAAAATCAATGTAGAAAGTTTTTTGACATCACTAGGCTTGTGTTCCCATCAGCCAAATGGGAGATGAAGATGCTTTCTTCACAAATCCATCAGGGAAATGAGGTGGAAGCTGCATAGAATGTGCTTAGACATGTGCCTGCCAGATAACCAAGTCCACACAGTAAGGACAGCTAGTGGGTTGGGGATCATGTCCAGGAGGACTGGGCGCAGCTATGGCTCCCGGACTTCGGTCATCAAAGCATGACCAAGGAGACACTCACCTTCTGCTCTTGTCCACAGGTGCTCAGACCTTGAGTGGGAGTCCCAGCACTGCAGGTACATGGCTTCCTTATGCTTCTCACAGCACTGCCTTGTCTCTTTGCTTCCATCCTCCAGCCCTCTAGACATCTATGCATCCACTTCAGTGTGCCAGGTCCCAATCTGGGACCATGATTAGTGAAATGATGCTAATCCAAGAATGGTTCTATAATCTAGCATTGGAGATACTTGCTTAACAGCATGTATTTACCAAGTGATGCTCTGTGCCAGGAACTTCTCTAGGGACTGATAATTCTTTGCTGGTCAAGACAGCCCATATGTCTGCCCTCATAGAGCTTATGTCCCAGAGTAAGAACTAGACATTACAAAGCAAAATATATATATATATTCAATTAGAAATAAAACATGGGTGGTGTAATAGGAGGCTATAGGCATAAGTAATAAAGTCTTAAATCAGAGGAAAATTTATTTCTCAAACACGTAAGTGAAATCTTTGAGTAAGAAAAATCTCTGACTGGGCCATCAATCAAAGATTCAAGCTTCTTCCAGCTTTCTCTTTCGGGTGTGACCCTCATCTTTACGGTCTGAGATAACAGCCAGGCTTCAAGATGGATGACCAGGAAGTAACTCAATGAGTATTATAGAACATTCTGCTGGCTGGAATCTCACACCTCCATTTATATCTCATTGTTTATTATCTAGCTACATGGCTACACCTTGCTACAAAAGAAATGAAATCTTTGTTTTTGATGGCCACGTTCCCAAACAATGTTTTGTGGTTTAATGATCAAAGTAAGAAGATAGAGGGGATCAGCACTGTTAGAAGAAATTATATTTGACCAAGAGAGAAAATGTCTCTAGCTAAAGATCAGGTGAATGGAACCCTACAGGCAGAGGCAACAATCTCTGACTAAATAAATATAATGGCATACACTGTTAAGTGAAAGCAGGTAGACAGAGCAGCAATGAATAGAAACCTAATTAACTATACCAGAGACAGTCAAGAGAGTTTCACAGGCATGGATATCTAAGTGGGGTTTTGATGAATGACTTAGAATTTAAGACCAGAGACATTGAAAAATGTGTTTTGGACAAGGTGGGAAATATATTTTTTCTGTCCCCTGGAAGACAGATATTAGTGAACATAGACAGGAAAATGTTCCTTTTGTGTTCAAAACCTCAACTTTGTGGCACTCCAAGTATTTCCCAAATAAGTGCAGTTCAGTGGTAACTTCAGATGGAATTCAGAAAAATAAGAGTCGCTGTGTGAAATGCACAGAACATAGAGTAAAGGTGCCTTGAAGTCAGGGACCTCAAGTCTTCTTCATTCCACTACTCCTTCAGATTGGCAAATTGACCAGGACTTTCTGGGGTGGGATGCCGACATTAGAACTTTCTAGAGGAGAATGGAGCTGCTGAGAAGAAACAGGCTGCCACAAGAGGGCTCTGTGGTTCTCATAGTTTGCAATCACTTGGAATCACTTTTGATGCTTCAGAATTAGATTAACCATCTAAGACTCATTGTAAAAATTCTGTCATACATTTGTGTTTCTGAAAATTTTTTCTTCTCCACTCTCTAGGACATCATCAAGTGACTTTGAATTGTTGGGGTGAGGAGAGGATGCTGTAATTTGTAGTAGTCTCAAAGGCGTTGACATGCTTATGCAAGACAACTGTCATCCAATATTTCCCCCTCCTTAATACTGAACATGTAATTGTGTATAGAAGACACACACACACACACACACACACAATCCTGATATCAAAGTCTAATTTTCAAAACTAACACTCATATAATACCACACAACATGCTAGGCACATGTTTTATATTTTATCTTATTGCAGCATTAGAGATTAAACCTAAAACCACACATTTGCCATGTAAACATTGTCAGTGAGCTATAGTTCCCAGTCCACAAATGCTATACCAAATGCTTGATATGAATTGATTCACTTAACCCTTATAAAATCTGATAAATCAATAGGTTCCATTAATAGTTACATCTTGTACATTGGGAAATTTGGGCACAGAGAAGTGTAATGTCTTGTTCAGATATACCCAGGTAGTTACAGAGCTGAGATTTTTAGCTAAATAATCAAGCCTTAAAGATGGCACATTCCAATCCTTCCTGACGCTTCATTATTAGTCACTGTAACACTAGCTGCTATAACCAAAAACCCTAAATCCTCTGAGCCTTTGTGCTAGGGATACGTCTCTGATCTAGGAAGTTCTTAGAAAACCCCTCTCCTCCTACCCTTTGGTAATTCCTGGTAACATCACTATGTTCTGTGAGTCAGATATCTTGGATACTTGGCAAATGACAGAGCATGCAGGAGGCTTTTTATGACTAGTCCTACAAATGGAATTTATAATTTCAATCTGCCTATCTGCAAAGAAGGCTGAGAAAACTGTCTCCCATGTGCCCAGAAGAAAATGGAAAAACAAAACAAAAAACAAAAAACAAAACAAAACAAAAAAAAAAAAAAAACAGTTGTCATCACAACCAAATCCAGGGCTGTGTTGCCTTCTCCTTCTTCTACAGCATATGACAAGGATGCCAGCTGGTATTGGCTACTAAATTCTAAAGCTAGGCATTTGACTCATGTCTCTTGTGTTTCAGGGTTCCTGATGGCCTGGCCCATGCTTTTCCTGCCTGTCTTCCTGGCTCAGCTGTTCTAATAGGCCAGCTGGGCACCTGGCCTAGAAGCTTGCGATCTTCCCTCTGGCAATGGCTCTTATCCACCCTTTGGTAGAGCTGGATCCCTCTGTGCATCATGTGAACAGTCTTGGTTCAAGGCTAGACTGGGTTTGGAGAAAGGGAAGAGCACTCTCCATTATGTTCCTCTTTACCTTGTTCTGAGGTTCTGCCAGCTTTTTTCATTGCCAACTTCCTCACTCATTAGTGAGGTTTGAGAAGAGAACCTAAATCCACTTGGTGACTCTTTAGTACTAGTAATTAGTGGAAGTGCAATACACATTAGTAACTCCTGGACAGAGGTGTCCTTTTAGTGGGTGGGAAATCTGTGATTCTTCCTAAATGTTTCCTGTCTTGACAGCTGGTAAATTGAAACATATTGACCCTTGCATTCATTCTCTCTGATGTGTTTTATTCTGGTCTAAACAGATGCATTGGAACAGGTAATTGTGGGGAGGGGAGTGAGGGCTCTCAGAGGTGAGACTGGTGCCACTACTCCTCTATGCCCTCCACCAGTGGTACCTAGAACTACATACATCTCTACACCTGGGCCTGGATGCTGGAGGGACTGCTTTATTTTGATGCAGCACTGCCATCACCCTGGGGAGCAGCACTTGCTGTTATCATTGTGGTGGGCTCACTCCCTCAGGAGGGCTAAGCCAGACTAAAAATGATGCATCAAACACTGTTGTGGAACTCCATCAATGACCCATCCTGAAGACCTGTAATGGATTAGCACAATGAACTTTACAAAGACTTGACCAGTGAGGAATGCTTCCTTTCCTCACAGCTCTACATGAGGCTTCCTGAAGAACAACAGAAGACAGGGTCAGAGCCTGGGTACTAAGCATGCCTATCTGCTGAGAGTTTCCAGTGCAAAGCCTTGTTCAGACAGGATGTGGTTCCAAAACACAAAGACTCATTCCAACTAACTCAGGCAAAAGGGATATATCAGATTCTAGCCTTACTGATTACTATTTCTAGAGATTATATTAAGTAATGTGATGATGTTGGAGCAAGAAGACCAGGGGCAAGGAATACATCCTAGTTGCGTACACACTAGGAGTCAGATTGGAGAAGCCATGAGACACTACAGTTGGTCCATCTTTCCATCTGTCAGTCTTCCTGAAGATACCTGCTGGTACATCTGCTCATCTTTGTGTGTCTTCTGCATTTCAGTTGCACATAACTTCCTAACTCACAGAGCAGCAGCGATGGTCTAGCATCTTGCTAGACACTCACATTGCCTTAGGACAATCCAGTTTGCTGTTTGAGTCAGGATGTGGGACCACTAAGCATACTATGAGACTAACTTCATGGGTGTGTCTCAAAGGTTGTTACAGCCATGTGCTGAAGGCCTATCTTCACATACAGAAAGCCCCACTTAAATCTAGATTAACCACTTACATATTTATTATTAGCATGAATAATTTTACAATGACCAATACTTTTAACATGTACTAAGGGCATCCAACCTTTACATTAAATATCAAAAGTAGGTACAATTATTCTGTTCAATTTAAAGATGAATGATGGGGGATTATAGATTTCAAATGTTGAGGTCAGGCATTTTGCCTAGGTAGACAGACTTTGGAGCTTTTATGTGCTCTTAGTTAAAGTCTATGTATGTTCTGCCTCCATTAATACAGTACACACAGAATAGCACTGCTTCATATGACTCATGCATATATACATAAACACATACATACATACATAGAAAATGTGTGCATGTGTTCACTGTTCACTGATACATGTGAACATATATATGAATTAGCAAGCATACAGGTATTGATATTCAATGCTAACATGCATATTGTCATATGTATTAGTCTTTAAGTACAAACATATACACAGACATATACCATACAGGTTGACTCACAGCTGAGCCTCATGCATGAATGTATATTAACACACACACACACACACACACACACACACACACACACACACCACCTCCACCACCACCAAACCACACCACACCATACCACACCATACCACACCATGCCTATAAGACACAGGACCAAAATTCTTGATTCAAGTTCAGAGGCAAGTTCAGAGGCAGGCAGACTCCAGCCATGTATCCTTTCCTGTTAACTTTCTTCTTCCTCCTTGGCTCCAAGTGCTGCCTAATGAGGTACTGAATAAGAAAATGTCCACTCCAGGATGGCACACTTGATAATGTGCTCTGGGTTAACATGCTCTGTGCCCAGCGTCTGGGAGCTCTGTAGTAGAAGGATGATGGAGATAATGAAAAGAAAGCTGACTCACATTCACAAAAACTGACAGTCCTGATGGAATCTCAACAGCTGGTGGAAAATACTGGTGCACCAGGCACTGAGCACAAGGCACCAGGCACAGAGCACAGGGCACAGGACAGTTTTACCCTCTGGGGGTTCAGAGTCTCCTTAACAAAACAGGCTATGCAGATAACAGGCAGCCAAAGCTAAGCAAAACTGTGGCAAACTTGTTCATCTTGTGGAGGAGGAAACTTCTCTGTCCCAGTGAGCCTTTCATTCTGTAGGTTGGAACTGAGGTTGAGAAGAGAAGTGGTGTGCCCATTCTTTATCCTTTATGAAATGTGCATGACAAGGTGGGCATAAAAGAAGCATGGGCAGAGATACAGTTAGTGTGTTGGAGGGGTGTGGAATCGGGGCCTCAGAGCATCAGGTGCACTCAGCCTACCCCATTTTGTAGTCCCTGCCCCTTATTCTCCCTCCTCCCCCAGCCTCTTCCTCCTGTGAAGGGCTGGGATCAGCCTTTCATTTTCCTTTCTCAATGCCTTAGGCTCATCTGCTAAGACTGTGATATCCACTCCCTTCGTTCAGCACCGTGGCCCTGCTCTTTCCTGAGTTGTTGCCATCTCCTCCCTGGAACACTAAGCACTCCCTAATTGCTTTTTCTCCAGGTTCATCCCTCCCATGCAGTCTCTACAGTTCATAAGCACTTAAAACAAATTATTGACTTCAATCTCTCCACCTTCTATGGCACAAGTGGGAAGAATTTTGACTACTCGAAACAAAAGCCTGCCACCTCCTGTGCCATTGCCCGACTCTCCCAATTTGCCTCTTATGCTCACCCTTTCCATAAACCACACTGTAGCTTCTGGCATTTTCCCAATCTATCCTGTCTCAGGCCATCTTACCTTGCCAGTGCTGTTTTTATTCCCTTCCTCACACTGGAAGTGTCAAACTTCATGATGTGACTTTGGGATCCTTCGTCCTGTTGTGTTATTTAGAGCTGACACCTTTCTGAGTTTGTGACCCGTCTTCTACAAATGCTTATGTATGTTCACACATATCATCTGTCCCACACACCCCACCCTCCATCCCAGACTACTGGTTTCTTGGGGATAGGGACTTTATGTATTCAAACACATTTGGCTGAAGTAATGAAGAGGCAGGCTGCTTTCTTCTTTGCGTCCTGCTCCTTCTAAATAATCATGCTGTCCTCTTCTGTAAGGAGGACAAGCAGCCATATAGCTTAATTTCAGAAATAATGGAGAACCTACTCAATTAGATAATTATTACAAAAAGTCAATTCAGAATTCTGGACTCTTCTGAAGATATTCATTCCACTTCTGCCTTATAGAAGGTGATTTTTTTTCCCATTTATCTCCCATTGACTGTGTCTTTGGGAGAAGTTGGGTGAAAGTTTGAGGGAACTCTTAAAAAAACATTTCACTTATTCTTTGACAGTTTCCTACATGTACATAACACATTCTGGCCATACTTACCTCCATCTTCTTTTAGCCTCTTTTGCATACCCTCACTATCCCTCCTTCCTCCACTCTACTTTCAAGCCTTCTGTTTCTGTTTCTGTTTTGTGACCCACTGGATTTAGACCCACTGGATTTAACCAAGGCACTTACCCACCAGCGCACAAGTAACTCCCCAGTAGCTACTTCACTACATAAAATGACTCCTTCCCCCTCAGTAGCTCTCAATCCACTATCTGCCATTAGCTTCCCCAGGCAGGGCAAGCCTTATGAGCCCTCCTCATCAGGAACTGCATCAGGGAAGAGTGGGTGAATAAGGAGGAAGGTTGTACTCCTTTCTATAATTAAACTGAAGAGTGCTTGAGGTTCAGACCAAAATAGTAGTTATTGGTAGAGGGCCAGTCAAGAGAAACACAAGGGTGGTTATTATTTACTTGAAAAATGTGAAGGGAACAAACTTATTACAAGTTTGGAAAACTTAAGTTTGGTCTAGAACTTAATGCATGCAGCAGACAATCACCAATCAAATCTTGGGAAGTGTATACTGATACTTTTAGATACACATGTATCAGAAAAGACATGTGGAGGCATGGGATATAATTCAGCAGTAGAGCATTTATCTAGAATGCACAAGGCTATATATTCAATTAAAAATAAAAATATTTGTTGGGGACCAAGTGGCATGCTATATTTTTGGAGGTACTGTCTGGAATCAAAACTATATTTGTTTCCATAAAACATTTTTGTGAGTTGACCATGCTGGCAAGGGGTAGGTAGGCCTGTTTGAATATTTTATCAAATTTCTAAATTGGCTCTAGGTTGATTGAGAAAAGCTAATTTTAAGGGACTGAACCTTTGTCCTCCAGTCTCCAGGCTATCCATGCAAATGTGCCTTTTTACACATAAAAAGGAATTTGCTACAACTTGAAGGTTGTCAGAGACAAAAACTGTGAAGTAATTTTGCAATGTATCATGAGGAAGACAATTGGCAGCATCACCACCATCAATCATCATGACTATTGTAATTCTCATCAGAATGAGTGACAACAGCTTCTCAAGATTCATTATTTACCCTCTTATCCACTATATATGACCAAAAAGCCATCCTTGAAAATCAGGTTTTCACAGTACCCACAAATAAGATAGAATATCTTAGGGTATCTCTAACCAAACAAGTAAAAGACCTGTATGACAAGAACTTTAAGTCTTTGAAGAAAGAAATTGAAGAAGATATCAGAAAATGGATCTCCCATGTTCTTGGACAGATAGGATTAACATAGTAAAAATGGCAGTCTTACCTAAAGCAATCTACAGATTCAATGTAATCTCCATCAAAATTGCATCATAATTCTTCACAGACCTTGAAAGAATAATACTCAACTTCATATGGAAAAACAAAAAGCCCGGGATAGCCAATAAAGGAATCTCTGGAAGCATCACTAACCCTGACTTCAAGCTCTACTATAGAGCTATAGTAATGAACACAGCTTGGTACTGGCATAAAACAGACATATGGATCAATGGAATTGAATTGCAGACCCTGGCACTAATTCACAGGCCTATGAACACCTGAGTTTTGACAAAGAAGCCAAAATTGTACAGTGGAAAAAAGAAAGCATCCTCAACAAATGATGTTGGCATAA